TAAATATGCAAAAACTTTGAAAAATTGGTGGAGTTCCCCTTTAACTCCACACAGTTTGAGGCAAGTATGTGATGCTTAAGCATATTTGAATGATGCTAATTGGCGGATTATAAGCTTCCACTGCTTGTTAGTTACATTAGTCTTGTATGTCCAGTATAAGCTAAAAAAGTAGACTTCATACACCTGTTTACATCTTTACCATTGAATTATGTGGAGCTTTTGAAAAATTGGTGGAGTTCCCCTTTTAAACAGGTGTCTGCAGCTAATGTAGCCATTTTCATGTCATGCTGGGTGACTGTCACTGTTTCCGAATCTGCTATGTTTCATTTTTTACAGATTTGCTAAGCAATAATTCTGGAGTGAATTACCGCCTTTAGTTCGCCAAACTCAGAGCTCCTCAGTCATAGCAGTCCTGTTTAAATCAACATCTTATTTGTGTAGCAAAACTAAGTGAAAGAAAGAGGGCGAGGCTGAAGTCAGCTTCCCATTTGCCAGCTTCTTATTTGAAATTTCCCATCCCATCTTAAATAATGGTTCTTCAAGGGTTTTTTAATAAAGAAAATGGTTCTATATAGAACTATAAACACCCAAAGAACCCTTTGCATGATTAAATGGTTCTTTGCATCATGAAATAGTTCTTCAGATTGATGGAGAATGTGCTGTAGATGGTTCTGTATAGAACCTTTCTATATAGAACCTTTTTGAAAAGGGTTCTATATAGCACCAAAAAAGGATTACAGTGTCAAGCTGATAATAATAGAAGAGCCCTTTTAAAAAAAATTCTATATAGAACCATATACAATACATTTATCATCGATCTGAAGAACGATTTCACCATGCAAAGAACCATTTAAGCATGCAAAGCGTCATCATTTTAAGTGTGTAATTTATTTTAATATGATCAGTTAATGGCCCTTTTAAGCAATTAATTTTAATAACACTGATGACGTGGAGGACATTTTTCATATTTCTTTAATATGACCAATCAAAATGCATTTTGGTGGCTAGGCAGATTTTGCAGAGTCCAACCAATCATTAAATCCTATATGATTTTGGGTATGTCTGCGGTATCTACTGAAATGTAAAAAAAGTGCCAGAGTACTTATAAAAATCTGTGGATGAATGAGGAGGCCAGCTCCAGAGAAATTGTCGTAAATCAGAGCGCTTATGGAGGAAAACTAAACTGCAGGTACATTATGATATTCTCAAAGAGCAGATCTCCACCTACATTAATGTGATGAAAATATTTAAACAGTCATACCTCTCTAGTATAATTAATAAACACAAATATAATACCAAAGTCCTTTTTTCCACCATAGATTGACTAATTAACCCTAACTAGTCTGCTAGTGTGGTGGATGGTGCTTTATCTTCTAAAATCTAAACCATTTTCAAAATAAAATAGACTTGATAAGACAGAGCATAGCTCAGCCAGCTGAAACAAGCTCCTGTTTTAACTATTGTAAACTGTTCTCTGTCAACAGGTGTTTTTCTAGACACTTTTAAAACTGCCCTGGTGAAGCCTCTGCTAAAAAAGAGTAGCATGGATCCTTCCATACTAACTTTAGACCTTCTAGACTTTTCTAATCTTACTTTTTAAAATATAGTCTCAGAAAAAGTTACTTTCAAGCACTTAAATGCATATCTAATATCAGACTAGTTATATGTAACGTTCAGTTAGGTTTTTGTTCTAACCATAGTGCTGAGACAGCATTGGTTTGTGTTGGCAGTGGCCTCAGACTCAGCACTTATGCACAAAATCCTTCTATTTTGGTCTTATTGGATCATGGTGCAGCTTTAGATACCATTGATCACAAAATTCTAATACACCACCTTGAATATTGGGTAGGCCTCTCAGGTACAGTTTTACAACATTTTATATCATATAATGCATAGACAATTCTTGCTTTAACTGGGAAATCATTCATTGAAGAGGATTTAACAGTTTTTGTAGAGTCCCACAGAGTTCAGTTTTAGAGCCCTTGCTCTTCTCTTTGTACATGTTACCTCTAGGTGATGTCATTAGGAAGTATAAGTTTTCATAGCTATGCTGATGATACCCAATTACACATTTTGGTTCTATCTGATGATCAAGGCTCTGTTCACAGACTGACTAGCTGTGAGTCAGATATTTCTCAGTGCATTTTACTAATTTTCTTATATATTTCTATATATATAGCTGACTTGAGAGCTTCATGAAGACTTTCCTGCTGTTGTAAGTTAGTCAACACACATTCTTTCACATCGAGTACATTGTACACTGTAAAAAATGATTAAATGTTTTAGTTAAAAAAAGAACATTAACTTAGATTTAGATCTTTACAATTCAAGAATTAGCAGAATGTGACTAGTTAGTTATTGTTCTGGTAACTTACTATAGAAGGTTTAGTGAATTCAGTATGTGTTGTTGTGAACGTAAAAATACAATACAAAGATGGTTAGTTGAATGTTGACTGAAATGTATATGTCCACTGCTGTTTCTCTGTTAGGTCCATTTCTGCTGTTTGGAGCTGTGTCTTTAAAACAGGATACGGATCCTGGAGAGGCATGTGACTCACCCTATTGGTCTAAATTAAAATTAGACCCACATGGAACAGTCATAATCTCCTTCCCTGAACCTTCACTGGAAGGTATGTATCTGTGTTGTCACCGTGTTGAGTCACTGGTGCAGCTTAATTTATTATGAAGTCATTATTGAAATCATTAGCTATAGTCTGGGATGGGCACTGATATTTATACATCATTTGTACAAGAAAACCTCACCTCACTATTGTTGCTCAAGCAGGGCATTCACTCACTCTCAGCCTTAAGCTCTGAGCGTCTCTCACTTACAGTCTTTTGTGGTCAGTGATCAAAACTAGAATTCTGGGTGCATCTCATCTATTTTTGGATTGTTTTAAAGGCAAACTTGCACAAGGGCATGCTACTTTGCCTTTTGTAAAAACCACTGGATATTAACATTGTTAAATTCCATCTTTGCAGAATATAGTTATCATTCTAAATGATTAAATCAGTAAAACATAAGAGTTTAAAAAAAACTGAAAGAGGAATTATTACTGTGAGGAGAATAAAAACAGGCTAAAATATGGTGAGTGTGTGCTGCTGCGAGTCACCCTGTAAAGCCTGAAATAATCATTAAAAACTCAGAGGCATCAAGTTTTTCACACCACATCATAAATCTTTATGTATTGAGATCATGCATGGACTCAAAAAGAAGATCTAGCTTGATGTTTAGCTATCAAATCATCTCAAAATCAACATTATACTGATGAAGATATGATGACAATAGTAGATCATTCACCACATCCTCAGAAAACACATCCTTCACCAAGTTTAGACTGAGTTCTCTTTAAATTCTCTTTTAATAACCAGATTCATTTGCTGGAGGAAGGGGGCCGGAGCACAACCCATGCTACAAAATGTTTTTCCATACATTACATATTTAAACCCGAGAAGTGTCTAAATCTCTAAAACGCACATAGCCCAGTCAGTAATTGTATGTAATCATCAGGGAAATGCAAGCTTTGTAACTGAATTTGAATCACAATTACATTGTTATATTGCAATACCGTTGCAAATGATAATTGTTAGTCTTAATGTATGTTATTGTCCAGCCTTAAAAGGTGAAGTTATTACATGAAATGGTTATAAATACACTGCCTGATGATAGTTTTGAGCAAGTTTTATTTGTAGTTCCCAAAAAAAACTTTTTTTGGATTTATGACTATTTTACCATCATCAACATTACAGATAAAAGTAGATGTGGGCAATATAGCAAAAATATAATATTGTGATAGTTCAAGAAGTTTTTCATGATACATGATATGTCACAATATTTATTTTCTCAGAAATCTGATCAGTTGGAACAAAGAAAAAAAGAACCACTAGAGCTACATTTTAAAAAATACTATCAAAAACTGTGACACAATTATTTTTATTAAATATTCAGCATACAGTGTTGCACTAAATGCAGTTAAATGGATAAAGTAGTGACAGTATGCACCGTATGTTCAGGAAAGCATATTGTATTGTATTGTGACATAATTAATCATGATAACGATATGTATTGTCATATATATTGCCCAGCCCAACTCTATTTACATCTCAACCACAGAGTAATGCAGAAATTGTGAAAAATCAGTGGAATATGTGGATACGCTGCCAGTTTTCTCCCTTTCACATTCTATGTCGGTGCTTATGTAAATAAGTCATGGTTCTATGATTTTAAGTATAACAGGAGATGAAAATTAACAGACACATCTGTTCACAGGATGTTCACAGGATGTTCAAACAAAATATTTTGAGCTATAGAGCAAAACCTACAGGATAAATGTCAGACAGGACATATAACAGGCAGGTCTAAATATGAATATATATAGAAATTTAGAAAAACAAAAATCCTTTGCATTTGGCACTGTTTCACATAAATGGTTAGAAAGATCTTTCTGTCTGTGTCTCTATGTAAGAATATTTACCTATTGTTGATATTAGATATTGATTTAATAAAAGTAAGCCAAGGTGGAGATGAGCAGAGGAAAGACAGTTGACATAAGGCGCTACAGTGCTAACATTAACCTTGGGGCACAGCACACATACAATCACACGTAAGTCATGTTTGACTAAGTTTACATTTCTCAAAGTTGTTCAAATAGTGCATTACACAAAGTGATACTGCTATGCATTGTGCAGTGTCATTATAATCTCACCATGATTGTAATTATTATGATTAAATTATGGTTCATTTTTTTAATTCTAAGATTTTAAATAGGTGAGACTGTAAAAGTGATGTCCACCTCTGAAACCTCTTTCCTGAAGCAGTGACGTTCATGAGAGGTGTTTTTAGGTGTGTTTTTACAAAAGGCACACAGTCCATGAAGCCATTTACTTTGGGAAAGTTAAACTTAGCCAAGGCCCCACCTTCACCAAAGCTGAAGAATCTGACGTCCCACCTAAAAGACAGGTGGTATAAAGCTCTGGACAGAGTGAAGGAATTTCTCATTGAACCTGTGGGGCGCCTGCCACTCCACACAGCCATCATGGGGACATTTAAACTAATACCAACTGAGCTGCTAATTTGGATAACCCTATCTATTGAATTGGCTGCAGCACAAACTAGTAAGTAACTTGATAATCAATTATTATTATTGTACATTACACCACAGTTAACGTACTGGAATAGTATTATATTATGCTGAACAATAAATTAAGAAAAATTACAGGAGAAAGAAAAAAACGTTCTTAACTTTGAATGGAAGGTAATGGAACTTTTCAAGTAATTTTGGAATTTTTTAATTGGTCCATTCGTCATGAAATTTGAGCATGTTGTAAAGAAACAGTACAAAACGTCAAAAAAAGAGATACGAGGTTTTGGTCTGACAGTGGTGAGATATGCATATAGGCATATAGACATATATACAATAAACCTACTATTGTAGCTTAACAGTGGCTTATTATTCTGGCATGTCCCTTCACTTTTGATAAGAACCATATTAATCAACTTAAGAAAAGTTGTGTAGTCATAAGGCAGTGATTTTCCAATAATTCAATTTTTAGAGGTTTGAACTCAGTATGGTTTTAATACAGCATGTACACGTGCACTAGGATACATCCATTTACTAAATAACGAAATAATAAAATTTTCCAACATTTTTTTTCCAGCATTCCCCACAACGGTCAACATCATCGAACCAGTGGCTACGACGCAGATGTTTGCAGGTACACGTTTATGACATATCTACATTTGTTGTGAAACCTGCTTTTGTAGTTGAGTAAAGTTAATGAGCTAAACTCTTCATTTTTCAGGATTAACCTCCGCACACAATCACAAGGTCTGCAGCACATGGGGTAACTACCATTTCAAAACCTTTGATGGAGACGTCTTCCAGCTCCCGTCCACCTGCAACCACATCCTGACCAAGCTGTGTGGGAGCAGTTATGAGACCTTTAACATTCAGCTGAGGCGCCAGATACAGAACAACGAGCCCACCATCAGCAAAATCACCATGAAGCTAGACGGCACAGTGGTGGAGCTGACCAAAGGCTCCATAGTTGTCAATGGCCAAACGTGAGTGAAAATCTTAGAACTGTGTGTCAATAGGGTACCTATGGGAGTCATTATTCGAATGCTTAGTGACCACTTATGACTTATGACTCAAGAGGGCTCTAGTAATCTGTCATAATCCAAAGTCAATATATATTACTGTGCACATTAATTAAAACTGTTTATCTTGGCAGTAAGGATTTTACCATTACAAAACACCATATATCATTAGAATAAATGCAAATAAACATAAATACAGCAAGAAGTAACATTAATTTTCAAGCTGGTTTGAATAACAAAGATCCGGATTTCTCCTGCACTCCACCAAACATCACATCTTATTGAAATATTTATTCAATCTTTTACTGAATATTTATACAGTACCTCAGTAGCACATCTGATTTAACTGACTGAAGTACTGATTAACCAAACCAGGAATTGGATGACTACAAATAAAACTGGCTTCCTTGAGAAGTTTGTAAATGATCAAATGAACCTTAACGTATGTACAATGAACTTACTGAATTACTGTTATTTGTATTTGTTCTAATATTAGTGATTTTCTGGGCGAATAAATGCTCACTAACCAGATAAACAGCTGTTTAAATTTAATCTTCTCAGGTGTCCAAAAACCTTTGCACATTACTGTGTGTGAAATTAAATGTTTTGTTTGTTTGTGTGTTTGTTTTTAAGGGAAGAAGCTCCATTCCTCGGCTCTGGAGTTTTCATTGAGGCGACCAGCACATACATCATAATCAAAGCTACACTGGGGATAACAGCCTTGTGGAATGAAGACGATGCCTTCATGGTAATCAAATTAAATCAAAATCCTTTCAGCTGACTTGTTTTTAAAATCTACAGTCATTTATATACATTCATAGACCTGGCAAATGTACAGTACACATTGGGCTAACCTTGGTAAAACATTAGAACTTGGTTGTGGGAAGTTTTATTACAGATGAATCATCACTGCTGAGACAATATGGCAACAAATCCTGGCTCTTTTTTTTCTCCACAGGTTGAATTGGATCCAAAGTTCAGAAATCAGACGTGTGGACTTTGTGGCGACTTCAACGAAATTCCGACTTACAATGAGTTTATTAAGGATGGTAAAGTAAAACTACAGAACCTTTTCTTGCTTCTGCACTCTTAAAAAAAGATGGCTTTTCAAGGGTTCTTTAGTAAAGAAAACGGTTCTGTATAGAACCATGAACCCTCAAATAACCCTTTGCATGATTAAAGTGTTCTTTGCATGGTGAAAGGGTTCTTCACATTGATGGGGAATGTGTTGTATATGGCTTTATATAAAACTTTTTTAAAAGGGTTCTATACAGCACAAAAAAGGGTTCCTCTATTGCTACGATGTCATGCTTGTAACAATAGAAGAACCCTTTTTGGTGCTATATAGAACCATTCACGATACATTGTCCGTCAATCTGACAATTTCACCATGCAGGTTCTTTGAGTGTTCAGAGTTTATATAAAACCATTTTCTTTTCTAAAGAACCCTTGAAGAACACTCTATTTTTTAAGTGTGTAGAACTTTGATGTGGTCCATCCTTAATTACCGCATTATCTGCTTGAGGTGGAAATGTTGGAACGTAACACTTTTTTATATGTTCTAGGTGTGCTGCTCTCTACTTCCACTTATGGAAGTCTGTGGAAGATGGATGGTCCTACAGAAATCTGTGAAGAGGAGCCTGAGAGAGATAACGTGAACTGTGGAAATGAGGTACCAGTGGTTACTTTTTGGTGCACCAAAGCAACACATAGATGGATCAATGCTTGTTTTATTTATTTATTTACATCTTTTTCTACAGAACTTCTGTCAACAGCTGTTTCTCAGCAAAGCGTTCAGCAGCTGCACTGCTCTCCTATCAGTCGAACCATTCGCCAAAGTCTGCGTGGAGGATCAGTGCCAGTGCAACACAACTGGAGCTTTCTGCCTGTGCAAAACCTTAGCTGAATACTCTCGCCAGTGTGTTCATGCAGGAGGAAAGCCTGCAAACTGGAGGACAGAACAGTTCTGCCGTGAGTAGATGTAATTTTTTGTTGTATTCGCAGTTGTATGCAAAAGTTTGAGTCAAGTTACACAGTTTTGTTGATTTTCTAATGGAAATAAGTGAACACATCCTCTACAGAGATACACTTTGGTATGTGTTAATGCAAATATATAATACAAATGTGGCCTGTGCGAAAGCTGTAGCACGTTTTTCTCAGCAGATAAATATAAATTGGACAGAAAAATCAACAAAGCATGTAATTTGTCTAGCAGTCTTTACATTTTTGCATGGCAGCTGTTGGTAAAGTCCTTGTGTTCTGAGGTTATGCCTGTCATGAAGTTCAGGTTTATGCTAATTAGATGCAACCTATTTTGTATTCAGTTCTAATGTATAACCATCATACATACACAAGTGTACATATAAAGAAATGCGCCCAGACGATGCTCATATCATGCTACATATGATATACGGTAAGTGCCGTAAGACAAAGAAAAGTGCTAGCATCACTCTCTGTTGACAGTAAAAATCTGTAATTTTACATGAATTTTTATGGTTTTCAAGAAAATGAGTAAATACAGCGTAAAATTCAGGCGAAAATACAGAAAATTACCATTCGTCCTGTAAAATAACAGCATCAAAATGCCTATGTGTCGATGATTTCCACAACACATCACAGTAGTTGAAGATTTTACTGGGTTATATATAATTTAATGCTCAGACTTTATAGGTGTCAGAATGTGGTGCCAACATACTAATATTGCTACCACACATTTTGCAGGCTGCTCATTCACATACATCTGTGCTTTCATTGGATAAATCATCACAGCTGTTATAGTTATAATTTATAATTATTGCTGTAATTGCAATAATGATAAATGTATTTATTTTACAATCATGACAAGTACTTTTTCGGTAATGCACTGCTATTACAGCTATAATATATTATTATTGCTATAATTGCAATAATAAATGCATTTTATTTGTAATTATTTTCCTGTATTTACATTAAATCATTAACAGTAGTAATAAATGCTTATTTAAATGCAATTTTTTCGAACATTCAGTAAAAGGACAGCTCCCGAATTGCAACTGTAAGGGTTCATTTCATCACCAGGAGGTTGTGAGTTTGAATCTTGGCGATGCCGTCTGAGGCCAGGAGTCCTACATAGGGAGTCCTCACTAAAGTGGAAGAAAAACTGCTTAAAAAGTTTTTTACTGTAATTACAGTTCAAAATCACCTTGAAGTATTCATAGTGTATTACAGTGCTTGGAACAGACAAATAATGTAATATGAGTACATTTAAAATTAATATTTGGTCTCTTCTTGATCTGTTACAGCAATGACATGCCCAGAAAGCAAAGTGTATATGGAATGTGGAAGTCCATGTATGGACACCTGCTCTAACCCGCAGAGAGAACATACGTGTGGAGAACACTGCATTGATGGATGCTTCTGTCCTCCAGGTAATGTTTGTTTTTGAGGCCTCACCTGATGTTTGAAGTGTCCCTAAGGTATATAGACATAAAACTGCATGCAGACCACACCTTTGATTGATAGATCTCTAATTTGTTCTGCTTTATGTCCATTGTTTTCCTGTCCTTATGATGAATCGGTCTGTATGAGGAAATATAAATAAAAAATAATTTCTCATGCCAAGTTCAACAAAGTTGAGTCATTAAGGGTAATGAAATGTAAAGTACTTTATTTGGAACACCTATTAATCTATGATCCATTAATATGAAATAAACATACATAAACATCTTCATATCTTTGAAGGCACTGTCCTTGATGATATAAACAACACTGGATGTATACCACTGAGTAACTGCGGCTGCAACCATGAAGGGAAGGTGTACGCCTCTGGGGAAGGTTATTCAACTAGCTGCAAAGAATGGTAAGTCTGTACCAATTTGCTAAGCTCTGATTTCTGTGGAGGAGAGTTCACATTTTCAGATTCATAGCTTGTAAATTTGTTACTAACAGCAATCCTAATGTATCATTTAGTACCTGCTCTGGTGGGACGTGGAACTGTGTGGAAAAAAACTGTCCTGGGACCTGCTCAGTGCAAGGAGGAGCCCACATCATAACCTATGATGAAAAGCCCTACACGTTTCATGGAGATTGCTCCTATGTCCTGTCCAAGGTACTCAGTCATAATTTAAGATGAGACAACAATTAACCAGCCAAAATAGTCTTTTTTTTTCAAATGTACTGATGAAAGACATGACATAAAATGGCAAGTAGTTTTTCGGTAATGCTTTCTTTTACAGTCCCTTAAGTTCTGTATAGCCAGTTATGTGTGAGGTACAGTCTTCAATAGGGGTGGGAATCTCTAGGCACCTCACGATTCGATTCGATTACGATTCAGAGGGCTGCGATGCGATTATAAAACGATTATCGATGCATCTCGATGCATCTTTTTTTTCTATTATATAAGAATCATGTACATGTGTCTTTCTGCACCATATAACTACCTGCTACTGTACCCAAAATAATCACACAATACTGTATTTGTACTTCACACTTACCCAGATAATATCTAGAACCTGGGATTCAGTTTTCTTGGAACTTATTATGATGTTACCTGAAATAATTACCTAGTACATTGTAGTTTGTACCACACACTTACCTGATTAATAGAACTTAAAAGACACTGACAAAGAACTGTTTTTTACCAGTTTTTCTGGTATCATATTTTCTTCACAGTTTCCTCTTATTTACCTGTGCTGCTCTGATTCCTTGTAGGAATGCACAGGCACAGATTTCACAGTTCTGGGAGACCTGAAGAAGTGTGGACTGACCGATAGTGAGACCTGTTTGAAGGCAGTCACGCTGGCGTTGTCGAATGGGTCTAATGTGAGTTATAAAGGTGGAGCACATGGTGAGCTACTGTATGAGTAAATCTTTGGAAGTCCAACCAAATTTGTTTTTATATATTCGCTATACAGGTGATCACAGTGGATCCGAGTGGAAATGTTGAGGTCAACAGAATCTTCACAAAGCTGCCACTTTTTACAGGTAGGTCCATCAAACTAACCAAGACTGATCAAACTCAGTCATGGAAACTTCACAGTGCACATATTTTATTTTTCCAAAACATTGTATTAGTGCATTATTACAGTACCACTGTGAATGAAATTTCCACATCATTCTCACTGTTCATGTAGTTTTCGCTGCAGAAAATTTGTACTGTTGTTGCTGAAGAATTTGTCAGTTTCGGTCTTAAATTTGAATAGTTTCAAATGATCTGAATCATTCAGTTAAGGAAAAGCACTAACACTGAATTTCTACATCAGGCACTTTTATTTTAATGGGTCCGATTTTGTTTTGCAGCTGATGTAAGCATCTTCAAGCCATCCTCGTTCTACCTTGTCATCCAGACAAAGATCGGGCTTCGCCTGGAGATCCAGCTCACGCCCATCATGCAAGTTTTCATCACGGCTGAACCAGCATTTAAAGGACAAACATGTGGTGAGTACATACCATGTAACACTTACACGTAGAGTTAAGTTTTAGATGTTTTGATGATTTTCTAAGTCAAAATATGTTTTATACACATCCTAAAGGGAATACACCTAAATATGGCATTTGTGGCACAATTTCCACATATTAGGAAAAAAAAACATAAATTGTGCCCTAACTTTTGCACAGGCCATGTTTTCAGTAAATAAGCTGTAATTGTGCATTAAAATGTGCAGAAGTGTTTAGAGAATGTGTTAACTTATTTACACTTAGAAAATCAACAAAATGTGGAATTTGACCAGGGGTGCCTAAACTTTTGCATACTGTAGTTTCTAATACAGTATATGTCAGCACTCTTTCGTTCCAAGAAACTAATGTACTGCAGTGTTTAAGTAGGGATGCACTGATACAGGAGTTCTTGGCTCATTCCAATATCTGATTTTTTCATGCAGATGTCAGTACGAGTATTTATGAACATTTATAAAATGTAGACATTAGCACTGAATTTATCTGCTTATCTGCTTGAAATATTGAAAAATTTCAAATATTCTGAAAGATTCTGATATCGTCAAGCATCCCTGGTTCAAAGTTACCCTGCAAAGCTGTCCCGCAGTTTGACCTTTAATCATACTATAACCTGGATTAACTGTTTTTCACAGGACTTTGTGGCAATTTCAACAACATACAGTCAGATGAATTCACCACCATGGGTGGACTCACAGAGGGAACAGCTGTGGACTTTGCCAACACCTGGAAAACAAGAGCGAGTTGCCCTGATGTCCAGAGGACCTTTGAGAACCCCTGCAGTCTAAGCACTGAAAACGGTATACCATCCAGCAATGTTCTGCTATATGACTGATTTTTCTTTCTTGTTGGACTTCACTTCCCAGTGACAAATATGAGTAAGCACCATTTGTTCTGTTTACAGAGAAATATGCACAGTATTGGTGTTCCCTGCTGTCGGATAAATCCGGAGTTTTCTCCCCCTGCCATTCTGAAATCCAACCTGACACCTACAAAGCAGTAAGTTAAATTATAAACTTTGTTGTTTTGTGGTTTGCATTTTCTACACTATTTGAAATTGTTCAGTGTGTGAACACGGTGTGAACATTTCATGAAGAATGGACCACTAAAAATGGTCTGAAATTACATGGAGTAAAAAATATTTACATTATTTACATTAAAAATTGTTAAAGTTAAACATCTTTTTTCTTTTTATGATTGATTTTTAATTGATTTCTAAGATTTTACACAAAATTGAGTACATAATAGAGACTACAAATACTACAAATATTAAAATATCGTTGCTTTCCAAAGAAAACGTTTTTTACTTTAAATGTTAGTCAATGCAAAGTAATTTTAGATCATTGCTATTGGTCCATTTATCACTAAATTTTCACACAATGTAAAGGACAGCCACTGTGTTCAAATGATGCGGAAAACTAAAAATCAACAAAATCAACAAAAATCAACAAAAATGTTTTCCTTTGGACAGCGACAATATTAAGGATGAATGTAAATAAACAAAAGAGGATCAATTATATAAGGTTATCTTGAAATGTAAGCCTATATGTACTACATATAAACTCAATTAGCCATTGCAAAAGAGATAATCTTTTTTCTTTTATAACTTACCATGTAGGAAATATTGAATTCTCCAAGAAAAGAAACTTTTTCCTTCCTCTAACCTTTCACACTGATTTTTTATTTTCCCCACAGAACTGTATATATGACACCTGTAACTGTGAGAAAACGGAGGACTGCATGTGCGCTGCTCTGTCAGCCTATGCACACACGTGTGCTGCTAGGGGGATACTCATCACTGGCTGGAGAGACGCTGCCTGTAGTGAGTTGATTTTCCTGTCAGATTTTAAATGTGAAACTGTCACGCCACTCAATAAAATACCTGCTTAGCACGTCCTAGCAGATTTCATATTGACCTAAGGACAAGTTAATAAATGCTCTGACCTAACTCAAATATGGTGCCATGTTTGAGGCTATTTATTTAGGAAAGTAAATATGGGCTGAAAGAAACAGGATCTGAAGACTTAATACCTCTGATAAATAACTGAAACCATCACGATTCAATTGTGTTACAATGAAAATTAATGCAGTTGAAAAAAACTGTTTACATTTGTGAAAAAATCTCCAATTCGAGCAGATATTCTTGGTACAGCTTCTTTTACAGTCCCCTAAGTAATAATTTAGGGTAACATGATAGTGAGAACCTAAATTGTTTACACTGAAATTCCCAACAGGTTCTAGATATTCATCTGATAAGTGTAAGTACAAAGTAAACTTCTCTGCAAACTTCAATCTGTGAGAGAGCTTTTTCTTGTAGAGAACCTCGACTATTCTCTTAGCTTAAAATGCTTTAAAAGTTACTGAATACTTGTTACATATATATATAATATATATATATATATATATATATTATATATATTTTTGTTTTTTTTAGATTTGTAGTTTGACTTTTTTGATTAACTTAGTTTTTTATTAACACTTATAGGCATTTGGTCATTTGTTTTATATATGTTGTTTTCCATTGTTTTCACCATTGGTTTGTAGCACTCTGCATTTAAGATTATACATTTAACATGGATTTAACATTATACATTGAGTTAATAATTATTAGTAGTAGTATTATGACCTAACAAAATACAGGGTTTTCTGAAGTAAAAGGTAAGAACCCAGTAAACAACAGTAAGAATCACTGCTTTCAGATTTATTTATAAGTAAATAAAAGGTAATAATAAACATAATATATACCGTGTGTATGAGATTCTTTGTACTTGGCACAATCTTTTGACGCCATATAACTACCTGCTACTTTTTACTCAAAATAATCACACAGTACTGTGGAGTTTGTACCACATTCTAACTCACTTAATATCTAGAACCTGTTGGGTAGTTCAGGGTTATTTAGACAGCCTTGGAGCTCACCGTTATGTTACCTAAATGAATTATCTAGTACTTTAGAGCTTGTGGCTCACACTTACCTGGGTAATACTTGGAACTTAAGAGACTGTAAAAGACAACGTATCACATTCACAGAGAGTTATCACATATTATGGATGAGAATCCTGACTTTAACAGTATTTGATTTATAGAAATGAACATCAGTATTAATATTAAAACACACATCTAACTGCTGTTGTACATCTTCCCACAGAAAACTACACCCTGTCCTGTCCCAGCACCATGGTCTACTCCTACAACATGACCAGCTGTGACCGTACCTGTCGCTCCCTCGGCCAGCCAGACTATTCCTGCAGCATTCCTTTTGAACCAGTAGACGGTTGTGGCTGTGCAGAAGGGACGTACCTGAATGATAATGGCGAATGTGTGGACGCGGCCAGCTGCCCATGTTATGACTCCAACAAAGTGGTCCAGTCTGGCGAAGTCATTAGCAAAGATGGCACTGTATGGTAAGGGCTGATCTTTGGAGGGGAAAAAAAGAAAAGAAGCTAATGTGTCCTCAAGTAAAATGACCAGAGAATAATAATTTTGTGATTTTAATCTGTCGAATCTATCCCATCTCAGCACCTGCAAGCAAGGAAAACTGAACTGCATTGGTGAACCAAAAGGACCAGGTATGTAAGCACATGGTACTGAGAATTATTATTAGATCACTTTTTATATGCACATTTAAAAAACTGTTTTACAAGATCAAAAACAAAAAAAAATTAAAGAGTAAAATGAGATTTAATCTACTGAAATTATGAAGTAATTACAAACTAAAATGCACTGAACTGAACACAAAATTAGGTTTTTGAGGTTCAAATCAATGTAAAATGTTTCTTTTGTTGTGTAGGGAAATTGGGACAGATTGGAAAAAAAATGCGCTAAGCTGTTTATGATTCTTAAAATAACAGGTTTCTAAAACTTTTCAATAAAAAATTACATTTAGTAGTGTACAATACTGCACATGTAACTGTACTTTCCTGTACATCACTGCACAAGTAATTTTAACTACCAAGTTTACTCATTTATATATACCTCTTACTTTATTTGAAATTTTGAATCAAGTAGAAAAAAATGTTTACAAATTGTAACTAATATTATACTCTTGAGTAGCTTCATCATATACTGTATTTAGGGCTGGGCAATATGACAATATATTATTGTTATCATGATAAATTATGCCACCATATGCTTTGTTGAGCATATTGTTGATATCGTCAGTACTTAAAGAACACTGACTAACTAAATGCTTCATTAAAAGGGAGGCCTGTTTAATTGGATTTAGTGCAGTGCAGTTTGTAAAACACTGAATAAAATCATTATAGTTTGAGGTGTATTATTATTATGTATTGCGCTATACTATTTTTGCCATATTTGTCTTTCTTTACTCTAGAATGCACAGCTCCAATGACTTTCTTCAACTGCTCCATTGCTGACCCTGGAAGCAAAGGCTCAGAATGTCAGAAGAGCTGCCAAACACTGGACATGGCCTGCGTGAGTAATCATATGAAAAATGGTCACAGGACTCCAGATTTTGTGGCTAAACAGAAGCAGATTTTGATTCTACTTATTAGTAATTGTTTATAAAAACAGACGTTTTTGTGATTCAGTTCTGAACAACATAAATGTGACACTTTGTCCCTGCAGATCAGCACAGGCTGCGTGTCTGGCTGCATGTGTCCCGCTGGGCTGGTTTTAGATGCGAACGGTGCGTGCGTTACCGAAGACAGCTGTCCATGCATCCATAATGGAGTTTTCTACAACTCTGGAGAGACTGTTAAAGTTGACTGTAATACATGGTATGTTAGACTTTTTTCTTCATGTTTTATTATTCAGAGTGTGGCATTTGGATACTTATGTATTGTTCTGTTACAGCACTTGTAAGGACAGAAAATGGACCTGCACCACAAATCAATGCAGTGCAACCTGCAGTGTGTATGGAGACGGTCATTACATAACTTTTGATGAAAAAAGATACGTTTTCAATGGAAACTGTGAATACACACTTGCTCAGGTACTGATTTTATGCTACATCTGAACATATCAAAAGAATTATAGGACAATGAAGTCAAATTTAATAGTTGATAGTACATTTTGTGTTTTATTAGGTGGGTTACTGAACACAAAATCATTTTATTAGCAAATGCTAAAGCGTACGGCGAGAAATAATACTATATTTTCCCATAAATGCTCACATAGTCAGTAAAATAAATACTTCTGTGTAAAACTGCTGCATGTGTCCAGTATAGTACATAAAATGAAAAGCACAACATTTGCATTTGTATTTACAATTAACCCTTTTATAATTTACAGGACTTCTGCAGCAGTAACAGCACTGGAACCTTTAGAATTATCACTGAAAACATTCCCTGCGGAACCACTGGCACAACCTGCTCCAAGGCTATCAAGTTCTTTGTAGGAGTGAGTACATCATGCTCACAAATGGCTTGCCAAAGCTTAAATCACTGAAGGGGAATTTCTCCGAATTTCTGCATAATTCAATTGTCAAGATGTAAGCAGAGTAATTCAGAGTGGTTTGGTGTAAAATGGTTCAGGTGTGTTTACAGTGATGGTGATAGGAACCAGGGGTCACCATGACTACAACACAAATATGTTTAATAATGATTTAAAAATCATTTTAATCCACATGGATTAAAAACTACACTTTAAGCCTAAACTTTATCTTAAAACTACTGTAAAACAGTAGATGTGTGGTTCCTATCACTACCACTGTGAACAATTCTGACTCGTACATTTCTCCAGAGCAGAGCATTTCACCCCAAACCACTCTGAATGACCTGACATTTTAAGATAAAATTAAGTTATACAGAAATTTTGAAAAACTGCTGAACTTTAGCGCAAGGACTCTTCATAAAAAATGTCATTCTTTATTAGAGCAATGAGCTTGTGCTTTCTGACGGAAGCCACCAGCTGGTCCAGAGAGATGTGGGTGAAGAAATCCCCTATCAGATTCGCACTATGGGAAGCTACTTGGTGATTGAGACCACCAACGGTGTGATCCTCATATGGGACAGGAAAACAAGCATATACATCAAGCTCAGTCCTGAATTCAGTGTAAGTATTAATGCCACATTTTTATGGCGTCTTCCTCTATTTAAAGCCTATATAAGTCTGATATATTCCGCTTTCTCACGTACAGGGACGTGTATGCGGTCTATGTGGAAACTATGACGGCAGCGCATCCAATGACTTTACCACAAGGAGTCAAGAAGTTGTGGTCGATGCCCTTAGCTTTGGCAATAGCTGGAAGTTCTCCCCCACTTGTCCAGAGGCCTTGGTTGTCCAAGATCCATGTGCCAATAATCCCTATAGGCAGGCATGGGCACAGAGACAGTGCAGCATTATCAAGAGTGATGTCTTCTCAGCCTGCCATTCAGAGGTACCAGTGGCCATTCTAAGTCTGTGTAAATGTACTTTAGGAGGTTGAAAATATGTGTATAAGTACCCAGAAAGCAGGATGGAGACTGGATTCTATTTCTGCTTTGTTTGCAAACATTAATTAGAACATTGACATTGGATGAATGGGTCGCAGTAGAAGCTTCTTTCACATGCAGTAGAGTAGTGAAAACACTGGGGGTCACTACTTTGGCTACAACATACTTCAATACTCATTAAACAGACATACAGAACCGCAGCCTATAATTTTTGTACCCCTGAGCATATCGATGCTGTCCAAAAAAAGAATACTTTCTTAGTTTTTCATGTAAATTAATGGAAAGTGGTTTTATTCTATAAAACTGTGGAGCATTTCTATTTTCTAATCATCATGAAAGTGTTTATTTTGCATATTTTAAGTGAGCATACAGTTGTATGCAAAAGTTTGGACAAATTATTTGTTTTGTTGATTTTCTAAGTGTAAATAAGTGAACACATCCTCAACAGAGACAGACTTCTGCACCTTAATACACAATTAGTATTTAACATATTGGAAAAAATAAAACATAAAATGTGGCATGTACAATAGCTGTGGCAAATTTAATATGCTTTGCTTTATATTTTACAAATTATTATATTCAGTAAACAAATAGAATTGTGCTCTAAAATGTACAGACATTTGGCATATTTAAGTTTATGTTTACTGTAGAGGATGTGTTAACTCTTAGAAAATCGACAAAGCATGTATTTTGAATGGGGGTCTTCAAACTTTTGCATACATCTTTGAAAGGTAGTGACTTGTTATGCTTCTGAGTAACAGTAAGAACACTACAACTGACATTTAGCAGATTTCACATAATGTGAATGCATAAACATTAGTTTGCGCATCACATTAAAATGTTTGCTGGATCACTCTATACTCTATCACAGCTACAGCAGTCTGTGAAACACAATATCATGCAGGTATTACTTTTTGCAAAATGCCCCTCCCCAACACACACACACACACACACAAACACACACAAAGCCAAAATGTAAATTTTAATGGGTTCTGCCACTATGTTTGACTAGGAAGACTGGAGATACAATACAAAAGTAAAATACAAATAAATAAACAAATAATAATGATGATACAAATAAAAATACAAAGTAGTAGTTGTACAAAATGTACTTTTGCTTTGCTCTGCTGTAATACTCTCATGAATGAGGGGGTGAAAGCAATCTACTGAGTCAGTTACGTGAAACAAAGTTTCATTTCAGAAGTCAGAACTTCAAATCTGTGATTAGCAGTACAGTTTGGAAAATAATGCAGTTTAAAATAGTATAAAACAATTTTTTGTGCTTAATAATTAAGCCTTTTAGGAGTAGAACAAGAAGTAACACTGTGCATAACATGTCTTTCAAGGTGGATCCAGCTTCTTTCTACTCTGCTTGTGTGAGTGACGCATGTGCTTGTGATACTGGTGGAGACTGCGAGTGTTTCTGCACTGCTGTTGCTTCATATGCAGCAGCCTGTAATGCAGTTGGAGTCTGTGTTGCATGGAGAACGCCTAAGATCTGCCGTAAGTCACTAACAGCTATTTCAAATTAACTGAGCCAAAAAAAGAAAAGAGTGAGGTTAACCTTGTGTCCTTCCTACAGCACTTTTCTGCGATTACTACAACCCTCCTGGGGAGTGTGAGTGGCACTATAAACCTTGTGGCGCCCCGTGCATGAAGACGTGCAGGAACCCCAAAGGAACCTGCTCTCACCTGTTACCAGCACTGGAAGGTAGGGGCTTGTGTCTGTAATAACGACTAGAATTTACTGATGTTATTTACATTCATAACATGAGATTTGGTGCTCTGAAGTTGCATTGTAGAGACATGCTCCCTGAGACTTTTAGAGAAATTGCAGTAAAAGTATTCAGTAATAATTAGGGGTGGGAATCTCTAGGGGGAGTTTCGATTCAGGATGCCTAAATGCGATGCTAAAATAATTCTTGATGCAACATGATTTTTGATTTCTATAATATACATTATGATTTTTATAGCCTACACTGTTTCACCATCTTATAGGTTTGAACTAAGACCTATAAAAAATAGTAACACATTTTTTAAAAGTCAGTTTGCTGAATTGATAGATTGTATGTGGTATCAAAATCACAGTTATGGTCATTCCATGCTCCTCCTTGTTCTCTTGCAGGTTGCTATCCTGAATGTTCAGCTGAGCAGCCCTTCTTTGATGAAGAATCCATGAAATGTGTGGCACAGGATCAGTGTGGCTGCTATGTTGGAATGGATCATTATGACAATGGCCAGACCGTCCCAACTCAAAAGAACTGCGAGACATGGTATGTATAATAAAACCTTCGATTTAGTCCCACAATGTACATTAAATCAAACCCAATGCTACTGCTTTTGTCAAAAAAACAGTATAGTGACACAGAACATTCATTTTTCTTTTTTATTTGAATGATCATAACTCCCTTTTCTCTACTCACACATGCCTACAATCATATGTAATCCATACTGCTTGACTATATAATAAATAACAATAAACAACAAGAAGGCACAGTGAATAAACGCTCATCTGTTTTAGTATTATCTTTAAATAGATTGTTACTGGAAACCATTTGTTGTCTGACTATACAGCTTGACAGCATATCTTAAAAACTTCTAAAAATTCTTTTCTTTCCTTTTTTAAGTGTATGCTCATCATATGGCGTGACCTGCACGTTCGATGTACATGGTGAGCATTCTTTGCCCATTTCTGCCTGTTTCCTTAATTTGATTTCAGATATGCAGTCTGTTTCATCTAAATGTAACTTTATTCTGTTGTTGCAGCTTGTACATGCACACATAATAATACTGTGTACCACTACGGAGACATCATTTACCACACAACAGATGGGACTGGGAGGCTGCATTACAGCTATATGTGCTGAGAATGGAAACATCAATAAGACAGTGACACCTTGCGAAACCACAACACCACCAACCACAACCCAGAAACCGACGACAACACCAGTGCCTACAACTGTGTTTGTTTTCACCACACCAGGTATGTTTCTAATGAAACAAAATGTTATTCAGTGTCAGCAAATGTTCATGTAGCTTTATTTTACTCTCCTTATTTGAAGGCAAAGCACCTACTGGATCTGTTGGGTTTGTTGTTGTTGTTGTGCTTTTCTTCCTCTTCCACTGTGAGTTCTGATCCTGTAAGGTTGATTTAATCTGTGTGGAATTTGCATGATTAATAAAGACATCAACACAAATGTTTAAAAGTTTTGAATCACTTGTCATATTGACAGTGTTCGTTATTTTTCATACAGTAACAACTTATACAGTGAGGATTTTTGATGGAATTTGAATGTTTTATTCAATATTTCTCAAGAAAAAATGTTAAAGGAAAAAGATATACTGTAATATATACTATTTACATCAAGTTATCTGCCTGGAGATGTGACCACCACTTCTTTTGAAATATGAAGAATTATGTTCCAGCTTTAACATTCATTTCAAAATCGTATACAAGTCTGCTCATCATTCTCACATCTAACATTTCTTCATTATTGTTTACCACTTTTTCGTATCCTATTTATAAACCTGTAAAGTCACACAGGACTAATACATTTGAATTATTTTATACATTTATCATTATCCAGATTGGTTTTCTATTATTAAAAACACTGATTCCAAACATTTGAACAGTGATTCAACACTTTTGAACAATACTGTATATATACCACACTGTTTGTTTGTGTACGACTCACACATAAGCAGCTATAGTACTACCAGGAATTCCCTACCTGTTTAAAAATAACATGCTAAATCATTTGGGCTTAGCATGTTAGTTTAGTTCCCTTTTGTAAAATGGCAAATGTTCACAGCATTTATAGAGTTCAGTGATGGAGAGACACCTCAGATGCTGGGTAATAAATTTCTGTCTGCTGTCTCAAATGAAAGTCAAGGTGAATTTTTAGTCATGAAACACAAACTGCTGACAGACTTGCCAGCTCTTTGAAATGTCTTTGAAAAACAAAGCTATAGCCCTTACAAGCATTTTCAATACCAATGCAGAAAAAGCATAGTTATTCATGAAATCATCACCACTCAATAAAACAAGCAGTATGGCATGGCCAAGAGCATGTGTAAATGATAGTTGGAACTATTAACAAAGACAGGTACAAAAACAATTATGAATGAAAAATTTAAGGTGACAGTATAAGGATTTACACAAAAAAATGTTGTGCTTATTTTCTAAAAAAATGAGGAGGGGGCACCATCTGATCCTTCCAAACAATTTGGAGTTTAAAACATGCTTTTTTCAAATATGAAAACTTAAGCATAAAAGCATACCCATTCAAGGATAGTACGTCAAAGGTAAGTCAGAAGATAGCATTAGCATTATTTTGAATGTACTTGCTAAGGTAAGCATAAACTCAAAAATCATAGATCCCCTCAATGACAAATGAATGGCAATTGTATACATAATACAAACACATAATGACTGATACTGAATAAATGTTTTTCATTCACCCCTTAACAGAAACGTCAACAGCAACAACAACGTTTGCCACAGAAACCACAGCATCATCTAAAGCATCAACACTGACAAGTACACCAACCCAGGCACCAGTACAAACCACCACTCAGCCTTTCACTGTTAGCAAATCTACTAAAATAATATCAACAACAGTTGGATTTACCACCACAACTTCAGAAACAGCCACAACGTCTGAACGTGTTTCATCCACCACAAAACCACCTAAGGAACAGACCACTGTTTCCACAAGTGCTGCTGAAACTTCTTCCACTACTGCTGTAGTGGAGACAACCACATCTGTCCAGCCACCAACAGGAACATCCGCTCCTAGCACAGAGTCTGCAAAACCTATTGTACCAACCACTACACCAATCACTTCTACGCAGACAACAGTACGGCCTCCTACAACCGAAGAATCAACAACCTCTCATGAAGTTACCACATCCCCTGAGACAAGTCTGCCAACCACTACAGCTACGAGTACTCTCTACACTGAAAGAACCACATCACCAGAAACATCACCACTGACGAGCACAGCTGCTCCAACGACACTGACCCAGATGCCAGTAGTAACCACCACTCAGCCTTCCACTGTTACCAAATCCACTGAAACACCATCAACAACAATTGTAATCACCACCAGAATCGCAGAAACTTCCACTGAGGTTGAGACCACAATGTCCGAACGTGTTTCATCCACTACAAAACCACCTAAAGAACAGACCACTGTTTCCACAAGTACTGCTGAAACTTCCTCCACTACGGCTGTTGTGGAGACAACCACATCTGTCCAGCCATCAACAGAAACATCCGCTCCAAGCACAGAGTCCACAAAACCTACTGTAACAACCTCTACACCTATCACTTCTACGCAGACAACAGCACCTCCTTCTACAACTGAATTTACTACTGAAGAAGAATCAACAACCCCTCGTGAAGTTTCTACCACATCCTCCGTCCCTCCAACAATTGTAACATCTCCTGAGACAAGTCTGCCAACCACTACAGCTACAAGTACTCTCTCCACCAAAACAACCACATCGCCAGAGACATCACCACTGACAAGCACAGCTGCTCCAACGACACTGACCCAGACGCCAGTAGTAACCACCACTCAGCCTTCCACTGTTACCAAATCTACTGCAGTACCATCAACAACAGTTGTATTTACCACCACAATCGCAGAAACATCCACAGAAGTTGAGGCCACAACGTCCGAACGTGTTTCATCCACTACAAAACCACCTAAGGAACAGACCACTGTTTCCACAAGTACTGCTGAAACTTCCTCCACTACAGCTGTTGTGGAGACAACCACATCTGTCCAGCCATCAACAGAATTAACAAGCATTGCAACGACAACACGTGAAATAATTCTGACTGCATCCACTGTTACTCCAAAAGTCTCAACTGAAAAACAAGTAATTCTCACCTCTACAGTGTCAGTAACTCCTACAACAGGGACATTGCCAGAAACACCTACAACCACGAAAGCTGCTAAAACAGAAGTTTTTACTAGCACTACATCCACCACACTGGAGACCTCTATCGCACCTATAACCCAAACAATCCCATACATTACTCTCACAATACCTGTAACAACAAAGCCTTTATCTTCATCCGCCACTGTAACCACTGAAGAGACGACAGTAGTAACCACCACTCAGCCTTCCACTGTTACCAAATCTACTGCAGTACCATCAACAACAGTTGCAATCACCACCACAATCGCAGAAACATCCACAGAAGTTGAGGCCACAACATCTGAACGTGTTTCATCCACTACAAAACCACCTAAGGAACAGACCACTGTTTCCACAAGTACTGCTGAAACTTCCTCCACTACGGCTGTTGTGGAGACAACCACATCTGTCCAGCCATCAACAGAAACATCCGCTCCAAGCACAGAGTCTGCAAGACCTACTGTAACAACCTCTACACCAATCACTTCTACGCAGACAACAGCACCTCCTTCTACAACCGAATTTACTACTCAAGAAGAATCAACAACCCCTCGTGAAGTTTCTACCACATCTTCCGTCCCTCCAACAATTGTAACATCTCCTGAAACAAGTCTGCCAACCACTACAGCTACAAGTACTCTCTCCACCGAAACAACCACATCGCCAGAGACATCACCACTGACAAGCACAGCTGCTCCAACAACACTGACCCAGGTGCCAGTAGTAACCACCACTCAGCCGTCCACTGTTACCAAATCTACTGCAGTACCATCAACAACAGTTGCAATCACCACCACAATCGCAGAAACATCCACAGAAGTTGAGGCCACAACATCTGAACGTGTTTCATCCACTACAAAACCACCTAAGGAACAGACCACTGTTTCCACAAGTACTGCTGAAACTTCCTCCACTACGGCTGTTGTGGAGACAACCACATCTGTCCAGCCATCAACAGAAACATCCGCTCCAAGCACAGAGTCTGCAAGACCTACTGTAACAACCTCTACACCAATCACTTCTACACAGACAACAGCACCTCCTTCTACAACTGAATTTACTACTGAAGAAGAATCAACAACCCCTCGTGAAGTTTCTACCACATCCTCCATCCCTCCAACAATTGTAACATCGCCTGAGACAAGTCTGCCAACCACTACAGCTACAAGTACTCTCTCCACCGAAACAGCCACATCCCCAGAAACATCACCACTGACAAGCACAGCTGCTCCAACGACACTGACCCAGACGCCAGTAGTAACCACCACTCAGCCTTCCACTGTTACCAAATCTACTGCAGTACCATCAACAACAGTTGTATTTACCACCACAATCGCAGAAACATCCACAGAAGTTGAGACCACAACGTCTGAACGTGTTTCATCCACGACAAAACCACCTAAAGAACAGACCACTGTTTCCACAAGTACTGCTGAAACTTCCTCCACTACTGCTGTTGTGGAGACAACCACATCTGTCCAGCCATCAACAGAAACATCCATGCCAAGCACAGAATCCACACAACCTATCGTAACAACCTCTACACCAATCACTTCTACGCAGACAACAGCACCTCCTTCTACAACTGAATTTACTACTGAAGAAGAATCAACAACCCCTCGTGAAGTTTCTACCACATCCTCCATCCCTCCAACAATTGTAACATCGCCTGAGACAAGTCTGCCAACCACTACAGCTACAAGTACTCTCTCCACCGAAACAGCCACATCGCCAGAAACATCACCACTGACAAGCACAGCTGCTCCAACGACACTGACCCAGGCGCCAGTAGTAACCACCACTCAGCCTTCCACTGTTACCAAATCTACTGCAGTACCATCAACAACAGTTGTATTTACCACCACAATCGCAGAAACATCCACAGAAGTTGAGACCACAACGTCTGAACGTGTTTCATCCACGACAAAACCACCTAAAGAACAGACCACTGTTTCCACAAGTACTGCTGAAACTTCCTCCACTACGGCTGTTGTGGAGACAACTACATCTGTCCAGCCATCAACAGAAACATCCGCTCCAAGCACAGAGTCTGCAAGACCTACTGTAACAACCTCTACACCAATCACTTCTACGCAGACAACAGCACCTCCTTCTACAACTGAATTTACTACCGAAGAAGAATCGACAACCCCTCGTGAAGTTTCCACCACATCCTCCGTCCCTCCAACAATTGTAACATCTCCTGAGACAAGTCTGCCAACCACTACAGCTACAAGTACTCTCTCCACCGAAACAGCCACATCGCCAGAAACATCACCACTGACAAGCACAGCTGCTCCAACGACACTGACCCAGATGCCAGTAGTAACCACCACTCAGCCTTCCACTGTTACCAAATCCACTGAAACACCATCAACAACAGCTGCAATCACCACCACAATCGCAGAAACATCCACAGAAGTTGAGGCCACAACATCCGAACGTGTTTCATCCACTACAAAACCACCTAAGGAACAGACCACTGTTTCCACAAGTACTGCTGAAACTTCCTCCACAACGGCTGTTGTAGAGACAACCACATCTGTCCAGCCATCGACAGAAACATCCGCTCCAAGCACAGAGTCTGCAAGACCTACTGTAACAACCTCTACACCAATCACTTCTACGCAGACAACAGCACCTCCTTCTACAACTGAATTTACTACTGAAGAAGAATCGACAACCCCTCGTGAAGTTTCTACCACATCTTCCGTCCCTCCAACAATTGTAACATCTCCTGAGACAAGTCTGCCAACCACTACAGCTACAAGTACTCTCTCCACCGAAACAGCCACATCACCAGAGACATCACCACTGACAAGCACAGCTGCTCCAACGACACTGACCCAGGCACCAGTAGTAACCACCACTCAGCCTTCCACTGTTACCAAATCCACTGAAATACCATCAACAACAGCTGTAATCACCACCACAATCGCAGAAACATCCACAGAAGTTGAGGCCACAACATCCGAACGTGTTTCATCCACTACAAAACCACCTAAGGAACAGACCACTGTTTCCACAAGTACTGCTGAAACTTCCTCCACAACAGCTGTTGTAGCGACAACCACATCTGTCCAGCCATCAACAGAAACATCCGCTCCAAGCACAGAGTCTGCAAGACCTACTGTAACAACCTCTACACCAATCACTTCTACGCAGACAACAGCACCTCCTTCTACAACTGAATTTACTACTGAAGAAGAATCGACAACCCCTCGTGAAGTTTCTACCACATCTTCCGTCCCTCCAACAATTGTAACATCTCCTGAGACAAGTCTGCCAACCACTACAGCTACAAGTACTCTCTCCACCGAAACAGCCACATCACCAGAGACATCACCACTGACAAGCACAGCTGCTCCAACGACACTGACCCAGGCACCAGTAGTAACCACCACTCAGCCTTCCACTGTTACCAAATCTACTGCAGTACCATCAACAACAGTTGTATTTACCACCACAATCGCAGAAACATCCACAGAAGTTGAGACCACAACGTCCGAACGTGTTTCATCCACTACAAAACCATCTAAGGAACAGACCACTGTTTCCACAAGTACTGCTGAAACTTCCTCCACTACGGCTGTTGTGGAGACAACCACATCTGTCCAGCCATCAACAGAAACGTCCGCTCCAAGCACAGAGTCTGCAAGACCTACTGTAACAACCTCTACACCAATCACTTCTACGCAGACAACAGCACCTCCTTCTACAACTGAATTTACTACTCAAGAAGAATCAACAACTCCTCGTGAAGTCTCTACCACATCCTCCATTCCTCCAACAATTGCAACATCGCCTGAGACAAGTCTGCCAACCACTACAGCTACAAGTACTCTCTCCACCGAAACAGCCACATCCCCAGAAACATCACCACTGACAAGCACAGCTGCTCCAACAACACTGACCCAGACGCCAGTAGTAACCACCACTCAGCCTTCCACTGTTACCAAATCTACTGCAGTACCATCAACAACAGTTGTATTTACCCCCACAATCGCAGAAACATCCACAGAAGTTGAGACCACATCGTCTGAACGTGTTTCATCCACAACAGAACCACCTAAAGAACAGACCACTGTTTCCACAAGTACTGCTGAAACTTCCTCCACTACAGCTGTTGTGGAGACAACCACATCTATCTCAACGTCAACAAGCGTTTCAAAGACAACACATGAAGTAATCATCACTGCATCTACTGTACCTCTGAGAGTCTCAACTGAACCGCAAGTAATTCCCACTTCTACTGCACATGTCTGTTGCTTTGTGAATGGCACAGATTTTCAACCAGGTGAGAGTTTTCACTAAAACGTTACTTTTTTATTCTGAATCTAAGTAAAAAAAAGTGAATATATATGACAACCATTTATGTATGTTTTATTTATAGGAGAAATAATTTATAATGTAACTGATGGCTTTGGGTGGTGCTTTAGTGCATTCTGCAATGCCACATGTAATGTTGAGAAGAAGGCATATTCCTGTGCTACAACTCCGCCCCCTCAGAAAACCACCACAGAATCTAGCACCACAACAGTTACTTCCGCCACTTCAGTTACAGTACAGCCAACAACATCCCCTTCCACAAGTATTTCCAGCACAGCACCACCGTCTACAACTACAAGTTCAGATTGTTCCAATCTTGATCCACCTAGAAAGGTATTCTTGTCTTAATGAGTAGTTTTTAAAGTTGTTTTTAAGAGTTAAGTTATGACGAAACAAAGAAAATGTAGTTGCAACCATTTTTTCCCATTTTTAATCTGACAGAATGGTGAAACCTGGAATGTGGATAACTGCACCACAGCAACATGTACTGATGGCAAAGTCGACTACATACCACACAAGTGTCCTCCAGTTGATGAACCAACATGTGCAAATGGCCGAAGCCCTGTAAAGGTCTACGATGAATCTGGCTGCTGCTTTAAATATGTTTGTGAATGTAAGTTGAGCATTTCTGCAGAACCCATGTGCATCAGATTGTGTGCATTTTTCCCTGATTATGCTCCGATTTCTATGTTAACCATATTCATGTACTAAATGTGTTCATACAGGCTCTTGTAGTGGATGGGGTGGCTCTCATTATCTGACATTTGACGGAATTTCGTACACATTCAGTGATAATTGCGCATACATTTTGGTCCAAGACGTTCTCAGTCCAAGTCTGCAAATCGTCCTTAACAAGCACTGCAGTGGCGGGAGCTCATTCTGTCCACAGAGCATGATCATTACGTACAAATCCCAGGAGGTTGTTCTGACCCAGGCGGAGACTGACGGTGTTGTCACCAATGTGGTAATTATGCCCGTACACTTTATACTAGTGCTGAGTTCACAACTTCTGCCGTTGACTGTGGTGGTTGAATAAACTGGTGGACCTTTTTTTGGGAGCCATGGATACCGAATGTCTCATTACTGAAGTATTATCCAGTATTATGCAACAAAAAAATGTTCACGTTAAATAAACAACTGACACTGCTAAAGCTCTCTACTGATAATCATCTATTTTCTGTAGTCACTATGGCAACGTTTTCATGGCTGCATGCTGCCATTGGTGGCGTACCACTGTGAGGCACGCCAGTGTTGATATTTTTACATATATGTCTGTTGCTGCTGTTGTATACGCATTAATTAAATATAGAAATTGGAACTAAATCCATCTGGTTAACATTACTTAGAAACATAACATGCAGATTAAAATGCAGACAGTAGCCCAGCGTCACCGAAACATTCCACTCTTCTGGAAGACAATATTTGACTTCAAAAAATTTACTTATTGGTCAAATCTTATCATATGATCCGATGCCTAAAATATTTTTTTAAACAATTATCTACCAATACTGATATGATTCCAATATCACTGTGCATCTCTACTTTATATATCACATCATTGCTCTAACAAAAACAATATCCGTCTTCTCTGATTGTCTGTCTTTCTGAATTATTGCAGGTTGTGGTGGACAACAAACGAGTCTATCCTGCTTTCAAGAACGCTAAATTTGTCATTTCAAGCACAGGCGTGGAGATCGTTGTTGAGATTCCAGAAATTCAGGTTCAAGTGACCTACACAGGCTCCACATTTAACATTGACTTGCCCTACTCAGTGTTCCACAACAACACAGTGGGTCTGTGTGGTGAGTAAAATTTCTCACATAGCTGGATTCTTCATACAACTGCTTGTCATTTTTGAAAAATGTAATATTTTGAGGGATTTAAAAGGTGAAATTTTTTAGCTACTTTTGGGCCATTTCTGATCTAACTGGCTCATTTGGTTTTATAAATGGTTAACTGGTTTTTCAATAACTATCCGAAGAGGTAGCCCTAAGATTCCCACCCGGTTGCTTCTATCTTGAGTAGTTATCATTCATCGTGATCCAGCTATCATGCAGTTTATGCACACTCAATGACTTTAGCTTGATTTACTGAAGTTGCCTGAAAATAGTAAACCTCAAAAATTACTGTAAACTGATGTAGCAAATTTTCAAATATATTCTACCTTGATGTGATGTTTGTAATCTAATTACATCAGACTTTACCAGTTAAGGTGTAATTAACCTTGTTATGAGTCATCAGACTGCACCATGTTAATCCTTCAATCTTTTCCCAGGTACCTGCGATAACAACAAACAAAATGACTGCCAGACACCCTCTGGTCAAACTGGGTCTTGCCACGAAACGGCTCCTGACTGGCAGATTCCTGGTGACCACTGCGTATCTACAACCACTCCCACTCCTGTTAGCACTACTAGTGTGCCTGAAACTTCACCCACAACGTGCAAGCCATCTATCTGCGAGCTCATCTACGGCAGGCAAGTATAAAAAAAGATGATTTGTGTCAGCAAATGCATGCCACTGTCTCAGTGTCAGTGTGACTGTGGCTGTTTTACAGTGTGATAGAGTGTATCTGAAAATACCAGCAAAACTGTTTGCCATTATTGTGGCAGTGTGCTAAGAGACTAGCTGTTCTTTGTCTGTCAGAGTGTTCGAGGAGTGCCGCAAAGCCATTCCTCCTGAGCCTTATGTAGATGGCTGCAAACTCGACGAGTGCATTACACAGGTCTCTGGCTGTACAAGCCTGCAGGCCTACGCATCCGCCTGCGCTAAGGAGGGCATCTGTGTGGAATGGAGGAACTACACCAATGGGGAATGCGGTGAGTGGACACAGTGTGAAATGAGCAACCTTTTATCTCCTTCATAAGGTCTGAATAAGGGTGGTCAACATGGCAAAAAATATAATATGAAAAACCATGTATAATATGAATTCAATATAGTCATGTGCAAACACTTCTGCACACCTTAATGCACAATTACTGTTTATTTGTTAAATTTAACGTATTGAAAAAAAACAGAACCTAAATGTGGCCTGTGCAACAATTATGGCACATTTTATATTTTATGTTTTTTATTTTTATTCCAATATGTTAAATAAATATAAACTGTGCACTAAATTTAGCAGAATAATGCCATATTTAAGTTCTCTATAGAAGAGATATTAAGTTGCTTTCACTTAAAAAGCATTTAATTTGACTGTGGATGCTTGTCAGTGGTGATGTTTCTGGAATTGTTGTTGTTTTGGTGGAGAGAGTACTTGTCTCTGTAGTGATTGGCAGACTTGTCTCAGGAGATGTTACAATTGTTGGAGGGATGGAGGATGTGGTAGAAACTGTGGATGAACTTTTGCATATGATTGTTTAATATTTGAAGAAATGTTCACAAGCTTACAATATGAGTTGGAACAGACACAATGTTTTATTATTTGTTTCACATACTATGAATCTCTAATTATGTCTAATTAATCAGGACCAATTATGCTCTTTTGGTTTCCAGCAATTGTGGGGATTCAGACTCAACCAAAAAAAGGGCAAGAACTTTTTTAATGAAACATGCAGTTGGTCAGTGTTGTGGAACCCACAAGATGCTGAGAAAAGCTTTTCAAGATATAGTTTATCGTGATAACAAGATATTATCATCATATACCTCACAAGGTCTAATTATGTTGTAACAAGTTCAAGATGTCCTGCAATGATCAGATCATGACAAAATAACCAAAACATATTAATGTAATTATATATTATACAATATTATTATAATTGGGTAGCTGATGGTGATGGATCTGTCATTCATCTTTCACAGAGGTCAAATGTCCTGCCACTAAAGTCTACAAAGCCTGTGGCCCAGCTGTGGAGCCAACCTGCAATGCTCAGTAATGCCTTTACATACACAAAAATAAAATAAACTGTATTTATTGTCCTGGTTTTCGCTTTGATTATAACTCTACCATTAAGAAAAGCCAGGAAATATATATAATAAACCAACAACTTAGGCATACTTAAATGTTTGTGTTATTGTATTAGGTATAACGCGAAGTATCAGGACCTGATTGAGAGCAACAGCACAGGCATGAAGGAGGGATGCTTCTGTGAGCCAGGCACCATCCAGTTCAGCACATCCTCTGATGTCTGCGTCACCTCCTGCGGTAAAACCTCACCAGTCATTCTGTAGCTTTGCAGAATCACTTTATGCTTTTTCACTTACAGCCTTTAGTGTTGAGCATGATCTGAAATAGAGGAGCAGCCTAAAGATTTGCAGTATTAAACCCTTTTTTGTTGTTTTTCTCTTGCAGCTTGCACAGGCCCTGATGGGAGTCCCAAAATGGTACATATACTTTCATCAAACTGATTATTTGTTGCAGTCTTACACAGCAGTAAACACGTTTGAGCATATTTTCTATATGCTTTCTTTAGGTTTTTCAACATGCTAATCAATATTACAACAGTTTGAATTTAAATTACTTTGTGAGATATGCCACAGTGCACTGGCTTCTTTTTATGCCCTGATGAATATTTTACTGGTCTTGCAGCCGAATGACACTTGGCAGAATGGCTGCCAGATGTGTGAGTGTGATGGCGACACTCTGAGTGTTCAGTGTAAGGCAATCACGTGCCCCACCACACCAACCCCCGTCTGTGATAAGAATGGTGAAGTCATTGTCAACAAAACGGATGGATGCTGCCAGAGCTATGAATGCGGTAAGTAATTTGGAGCCACACTATTGAAATATTGCTCAAATAACCAAATTTGTCAAGTGTCATAGCATAAGATCTAGTATGGCTTTTCAATTCTAGAAATTTTGAAGTTGACTCCATTTCCATAGATGGGAATCGATGGATTCCCTGAGTAGATTCCACACAATAATCTCAATTTCAAAAACTAAGCCAGAGAGAAGGACTTGCAAAACTAAAGAGTACAATAAGAAATCTGGCAAAAATAAGGGTACAGTATTAATCATATTTGAGCTTAGCAAGGAAATTTAGAAAGCTAACTCTAGCTAAATTAACTTAGCTGACTAAGAGGAGCTTCAGTCAGTTGTACCTGATTTTCCTCTGTCCTCCTTCAGTTGGGTAGATGTTTCGGCTCTGGTGATGTTGTTTGATTGTAAGCCAATTTTTTGATACAAATTTTACATTGTAGTTTTTTTTTCCACCTAGTAAAATACAGCTGGACTGTCAATGTGTGAGTTGTGGGCAACAGAATATCTCACACTCTGTGTGCATGCCAGTGCGGGAAAACTTGAACGTCACTATGTGGAATCAGGTCCATAGCTTTTGAGTCAATTCTCGATTCCCGAACACCTGGAATGAAAGACTCAATGTTTTTGGGATCGACTTTCAGCCCAGTTCACCACTGTGGTGTCACACAAACTAAGAGCGAGCGCTAACAAAGCCTGTACCACAAAGTTTTTACTTTCTCAATTTTAGTAAGATCAAGAAAGTACTTATTCTCTTTCCTTTTGCTCCAGCTAAACAGTTTGTTTAATGTTTACAGCAATATTGAATGGAAAACACATTATTCTTTTTACAAAAAAGTCACAGTATCCTCAGCCTGTCATAGCCAAGACCACTTTGGTCATTGTATACCACTCTAAAGCATCTAATTTGACTAATTAGCTGTATTGCTAGCTAGTTATAGTTAGCTTGATTGGCTGATATGACGTGATATACTGCAGTGATCTGCACTCACACTCACATAAATGTCTATTACACAGAATCATGCGTAGAAATACACAAAGTTTATATATTTCTTTGTCAAGAGTGAAAATATGAGTGAAAACACTGTCTGTGGAGGCTAGCATAAATGCTACTAGCATTAGCTTCCTAACTAGCTTAGTGAACTCTTCATAAAGTAAAAATTCCAAAGGTAGGCATCGATATGTAAGCATACGATTCCAGTTTACATTCTGGTGTTGTTACTGGTGATGTGATAGTGTTTGGTGACTTTATATTCACTTGGAAGAGTAAAGAATTCGCTAAATTGTTGTTCAGCTGCAAGTGTTAGCCTACACAGAGGAGAACAACCTCAAATACCTTTCAGTCTGGCTGGTACCGAGTTGAGCACTAAAAACATAAAACTGGAACTTTCAGTACTGGACCAAGGGTTTCTGGCCAGAGTTTTTGTATTAGTCTTTTACAGTAACATTAAAGTCACCTGTTATTCATTACCGTTTAATGCATTGTGAGTGCTTCCCCTTACAGAGTGTGATGTGAGCCAGTGCATTCATCCAACAATGGGCTGCTCTCTGGGTTTCACAATATCTGTAGAAACACCTGCCGGAGCCTGCTGTCCTGAGTACACCTGCAGTGAGTATGAACCTGTGCTTTAAAATGAATACAGGTGGACAGTAAATGAATAACTAACACGCTACATTATTTTTACAGAGCCTATGGATGTCTGCGTCGATGGCACAACAGTGTATCAGGTAAGATGGAATTCGAAGATAAATGAGTAAATAATTGTTATAATAATGCACATCATCTACTGACTTTCTCAAATTCAAACTTGCTTTACAGAATCAATAAACAGAAAACATAAGCATCGAACCAAAGGTTACAAAATATGGGGCAAACAAACAAGTAAACAACCACAAGCAAAATAGTAAACATAGTAACCATATGGAAGGGACAAAAGTAAGGATGCAGAATACTGGATATTGTTAGAACTTAAAGGGAAATTCCTCATATTTTCTAAAATTTCTGCATAATTGAGTGTTTCAGATAAAAACAGAGTGAATTAGAGTGGTTTGGTGTGAAATGGTTCAGATTTCTTTACAGTGGTGGTGACAGGAATCAGGGGTCGCCATGACTACAACACAGATATAGACATTTTATTTACTATCCAAAACCACCAGTGAACCTACACATGTCTTCTGAGTTTTATATGGAATGTTGATGATGGGAAAATCTGAAAAAAATAGGTCTTCATTGGGGACCATTTTGCCCTGCATGTATCCCTCCACCATTAATGCATCTAAAAAATAATAATATCAGGTTTTAGGGCAAAACCTTCTCAAAACTATCATAAAACAATGTCTCAGACTTCAGGCAGTGTATTCATAACCATTCCATGTAATAACGTTCTGTGAGGGAGCTTTTAGAGGTGGACATCTGGTTCCTATCACCACCACTGTGAACAATTCTGACTTGGTAAATTTCTCTGGAGTGGTGCTTTTCACACCAAACCACTCTGAATGACTCTGTTTACATCTTAATCATTTATTTATGTAGACTTTACAAAAATGGGTGAAGTTCCCCTTAAAAGAACACTGATCAACTGCATGTTTAATTTACAAATTGAACATAAGCTTTAAGAGCATTTAAAATTATTGTACTTGCAGTTTCTGATAGTATTTATTATGTGGGCTTTTTTGTTATGAACTTACCAAACCTCAAAAAAATGAAATATCATGATATATACTGTGTATCGAAAATGTCTTCAAGTATTGCAAAGTATTCTATTTTTGCCATATCGTCCACCTTTAGTTGGAGATTGTTGAGCGGTTTAAAAGCGGAGATAGATCATTACTCATTCCTTTATTCTCTCTAGCCGGACTCCCCCATGCCCAGTGACGACGTGTGCAAGAGCTGCAAGTGTGGCTCCACTGTGGATCCTTCAACCGAGTTGCTCACCCCAGAGTGCGTGATAATTGACTGCAACCCTAACTGTGCAGCGGTAAGCCACTAATCAAAAAGGGCTAATTGGGTCAAGTATGAAATCTAAACTCGTTCTGAGTAATCTTTTTCTGCCTTTCTCATCCTTCAGGGTTACGAGTACAAGCCTGTGGCCGGTCAGTGCTGTGGACAGTGTGTCAGGACCAGCTGTGTGATAGTGATTGATAACGTCACCTACACCATCGCAGTGCGTTACTCTGCCTTCAATTATGACTTTTGATTGGCTAATTGGATTTTGGAATTTAAAGAGCCCATATCTTACATTTTTCTTGCATTTATTTCCTCCCTGAGATCCAGTTATGATGTTTTTTTGGTTTTATATCATAATCTATTTTCTGCATAAACCATTTTCCAACCTTTCTTTATCTGTTAGGATTAAACAAGCTGTTTTTGTTGCCATGCCCTTAAGACTGAGCTCTTTTCTGATTGGCTGATTTGTCTTGTACCTCATTTCCTCCTTATAACTTCATTGTGAATGAACGGGGCTAATGTGCTTTTGGCTGAATATGCAGATATACAGTAGTATGCAAATGTTTGGGCGCCCCTGGTCAAATGACATGTTTAAACATAAAATGTGTACTGTGCGAATGTTTTGACACAGTTTACATTTTATATTTCATGTATTATTTTAATGCTAATATTTAATAATATTTAAGCATGCTCCCCATAGAAGTGTTAATTTATTTTCACTTAGAAATCAACAAAACGTGCAATTTCACTGGGGTGTTCAAACTTTTGCATACAACTATATGTAAAAGATTTGATTATTCATAAACACCGAATTCAACGGAGTTATATGGACTGGATGGACTGGAGAGTGAGCGGTCCATTTTGAAACATCAGTGCTCATATACCATGTCAAACTCTTTTATTCCAAAAAAGCAAGGGCCGTTTAATATACGCTAAAGACTATGTTGGATTGTACTAGTATTTCATAATCCCTTAAAAACCCCTGAATCTGGATGCCTATTTGTGTGCAGGTGAATGAAACGTGGTCCTCACCTCAAAATAAATGTGTCAAGTACATGTGTGAAAATATCAATGGTGAGCCAGTGACAGTAGAGACCAAGACCACCTGTCCAGCTTTCAACCCAGACGACTGCGTCTCCGTAAGTATTTGAACGTGAACAAGTCACATTAGATATAGCTCAGCACTGAGTAGAAAAAAGGTCCATTAAAGACTTTGCATGAAAGCTGGGGTTCAATTCCATGCCTAAGTAGGTTGGCCACACCACCTGGGCTAGACTTCTCACATTACATTCGCCTGCCTCTAAAACATAATGACACTGTAAATCACTGTGAATAACACGAGTGTCTGCCAAAGCATGCCAGTGTAAACACAGTACCACAAATGACTATTACACCCTGACACAGGGACTTCATAACACACGCAAAAGCATTAAAGAACATAATGTTTGAGTATTCATAAACAGCCTATGTCAGAATGCAGTGTTTTCTGAAGTAAATAACACATGAAACTAAAGCAATAGGCATTTGTTCTGTTTATAACACTGTTATGTAGCTTATGGAATTTGTAAGGCAGAAAAAATTATTTGGAAAAATATGTAAGAAAATTATGACTTTAGTTTGGGAACATCCAAATCTGTCTTTAAAGTTCCATTTATTGGGAATAATGCTTTATAAGTGTTATAAATGAAAAAAATGTGTATGTCACTTATGTAAATTCAATGCAATTTACTTCATAAAACATTTTATCTTGTGAATTTTGTATGTATATATATATATATATATATATATATATATATATATACATACAAAATTCACAAGATAAAATGTTTTATGAAGTAAATTGCATTGAATTTACATATGTGACATACACATTTTTTCATTTATAACACTTATAAAGCATTTATAGGATTTTAAGGTTTAATATATATATATATATTACATTCGCATACATATATATATGTATATATATGTATATATATATAAAACCTTAAAATCCTATAAATAACTGAAACCAAACCAATGATTGCTGACATTACATAAACTACAGTGGATGAGCTCATTAAGTGATGTTTAGCTTTATGGTGAAAGGTTCAGTACTTACTTGTGTTTTGTGCTATTTTTTCATAGGGAACAGAGCAGACTGACGCTGATGGCTGCTGCTCAAGCTGTACGTGACTGAAATCTTAACTTTCTCTTTAATAAAAGAAGACTGTACGGTGAAGCACTAACATTTTTATCTTTACTTTTCCTCCAGGTGCACTGAAAAGCAAATGCAACGTCCAAAAGAACAGCACCGTCCTGGTTAATAATGGCTGCACCAGCGCTACTGCGGTAGATTTGACATACTGTGAAGGAAGCTGCGGAACGTTCTCCATGTGAGTATGAAAATATTAACAGGCCAGTAACACCATCACACAGCATCTGTCATATTGAACTGGTTAGAATTCAGATTTAAATCAGTTTACTAGTAAAAACATGATGCTTGCCCCTCACAAAACAAGTGGGCTCAGATTGACTAGGAAAAAAAACACTTCACTGCAAAAAAACAAGAGGAAATGACACCACGAAAAAATATCTGAAATCTAGTCAATATATCTAATATTTCTCATAATAAGGGTGGTTAGAATTTTATACAATTATTTAACTTATTTCTAGACATATATACTTGTTTTAGGTCATTTTCATCTGCAGGTATTGTCTTACTCTGTTAGCTCTTACTTTTGCATTTTTTAAAACACAATGCTTAAAACAAACACAAGTACCTGCCAATAGAATAAGATAATTTCTTCTTGTCATAAAATGACTTAAAAAAGTAAAAAAAAAACTTGAATAATCTTGAAATATTTCTAGAGACAGCTTTAGAGGTCATCGGAATAGGAAGGTCAGTTGGTCAGTGGTGGGAAAAATACATACAGCAAGCAATATTAGGAATATATATAGTAAAACATAAAAAAAAATAAGTAAATGCAGTGAAAATAAGTTAACACGTCCTCTACAGGGACACAATTAAGTATGACATTTTTTTCAAATTTTAATGCATAATGTATGTTAAATATAGCAAATTAACAGTAACTGTGCATTGAAATGTGCAGAAGTGTGTTCTCTGTAGAGGATGTGTTCACTTATTTACACTTAGACGATCTACAACACATGGAATTTGGACCACCGGGGGTGCACAAACTTTTGCACATGACTGCATGTTCCTCAGAGTTAACCCCTTCAATGGCTAGGGCCCACTGGCAGACCCAAAGTTTTATTACACACTTCTATAATCCAAGAATAGCTCAGTCAGTTTGCACTGAAGCCCCTGTAGTTACTAAACAAGCTTTAGTCTGTGATAAGCCTGAGATTTTAAGGATTGTATACAGTTGGACTGAGTTTTTCCTTCTTGTTTCCCTGCAGGTACTCTGCACAGTCCAGTTCTCTGATGCACTCGTGCTCTTGCTGCCAGGAGCAGAGCACCAGCAAGAAAGAAGTGGAGCTGCTCTGCCCTGATGGGTCAAAGGTCAGCTACTCGTACGTCTACATCGAGTCCTGCGGCTGCCAGAAGATAGACTGTCCGTCCACCGGGAGACGCAGAAGGAGACGGTGAACTCTGAGCCCGCTAGAATGTCATTAACCAGCCAGAATGCATTTTGACCTACTGTTACAGACAGCATGATGCTAAACTTTAACTTTCCTCTCTAATAGTGTGAACATTTCTCCTCTTATGTCTTATCCTGAAACCTGCATGCAAAAAACTAAAAAATCAAACATTGTTATTAATATTATTATTATTGTGAGAATGTGTTAAAGGCTTGTCAGGCATTCTTGATGAATCTGAGAAGGCTTTTGGTGTGATGTGTTTTAAAATGTGCATGTGAATAACTTCAACAGCTTCATTCTTGTCTCTTAGTTCTCAATAAACTGTTGCAATAAATAAAAATTGCCTTGTTTATTTTTTTACTTTTTATGTCTCACACACACTGTCAAAACTTCTCACTTTTCAAAATGTTTATAATACAAATTATAGTGTTTTCTTTGTCAGTTTGCTACAACTTTCCATATTAAAGCCTAATCAGGTTCATTTGGAGGAGCCAATATCATACATGTAAATATCTGTGTCAATATTAGACACAGTGGGAATAAAGACAAAAGGCCACGCCCACTTGTGGTGTCAGCACTCAACATCACTTAATACTTCCAAGTGTTAAAACCACTTTTGGACCTTTGGGAGTTTCAATATTAGCTTTTGGAAATAGTGTCAATGAAGCTCAGTGCTTAAGATAAAAGGTTAACAAAGATTAGATACAAAATAATTCATTGTAATGATGTAATGGAAGGAGAAAGTCAAAGGAAAATAAGTGAAAAAACTGGATTTCAAAAACTGATTAAAAGCTACAGAGAAATTGAAACTCCTAACAACCACCTGGAAGACCTGATAGACATCAAAACTGCCCTCCTCAGATAAACAGCACTTAAAGCTTTCATCTTTGAGAGAGAGGAGAAAATCAAGCTGCTTCAGATCTGAAAACATCCACAGGTGTTTCTGTCCATCCTTCCACTGTGAGAAGACACCTCAGTGCTATGGGACTGAAAGGATGTATAGCTGTCAAGACCTCACTGCAGATTTCTTTGAGAAACTGAAAGCGAGTCTCCTGAAAAGAATGGAAGCTGGAATAAAGGTAAAGAGTGATGTACTAAACACAAAAAAATACTGTGCTAAAAATGATTTCAAAAAAAAGAATAACTTGTATTTAATTGGTAACACAATGGTAACACAAACACAACTCCAGCTAGAATGCAACTTTTATTGTCAATCTCAAATTTGCTGCTGAGCAGAAATAAAGTCTGACTTCTGAAAGACTGAAGTGACATCTCACCTTCACAGGTCTGCCCTGCAGAATATCCACTGTGGTTCTTTTAACCCTCAGATTTAGAAGCAAGTCTTGAACTTTTAAACTGTGGCAATCTCAATTAAAAAGAAGTGCAGTCTATTTTTTGACAAAATGAGAGAAACTGACATAAATGCATGGCCTTCAGTTTGGTTGTCTGCTTGGTAACAAAGCTTGGAATGCTTTACTTTGAGTAAAGATATTTTAGCTAGCAGGCTGACCACAAAGACCAAATTCCATCTCAACAAACCTCAAAGATCATATACAGTGGTTCCAAAATGTATTTTGAGATTTATGTAATAAAGATTCTATTACAAGGGGTTCTGGGTCATTTCTATTGGTCCATTAGTCATGAAGTATTCATACGATGTGAAAGGGCTGGCATCTAATTATGGTTTTATGTTCTTACCTAAGAACAAATCCCAAATAAAACATTGGTGAACATCAGAATCTTCATCGAAAGAAGAAATTTCTTCGTAAGAACGGTTGGTGAATGTTCATGTCATAACAATTTGAGTAAAAAATAGAATCTTTGAATTGTGAACATGAATTTCTGAATTTTTGGTATTTGGTGGTGTGCCTGCATTTTGCTTTAATGGCCGTGTACTTTTGAGCTGCTTGAACCCTGCAGGTTTGTGTATCTGATGAGCAGATCAAATAAAAAAAAGAGTCATCTGAACACGAACTTCACTGGAAGAGATCAGACTAAACAGCAATCTGATCTTTTAGGACAAAGATCTCAACACAATGTCACAAATTTGCTTAAATGTGTGTAGTGATCTAGAACCAGAGCAGAAACGTCAATATTTCTTCTTCATTTCACTCCTTATTTTTTCAAAATTCTAAAACTTACAATTGTTCATTTGCAGGTTTAAATGAAAAGACATCCCAGATTTTCAGTCTCAGACTTTTGGTCATCACTAGTATATGCAATAGCTTAAACCCCTCCTGGTCAAATTCCTTGTTTTGTTGATCTTCTGAGTGAAAATAAGTTCACAAAGTTAAAATGTGCAGAATTGAGTCTCTGTAGGAGATGTGTTCACTTATTTTCACTTAGAAAACCAACAAAACCAAATAATTTGACCAAAAACATCTGCATGTGAGTGCAGGTCTGTCAATGTGTGAGAGAATTATGGCAACATGTACAAGATCAAAAACCTTAATCAAATAAATAAACATACAGAGAAAAAGTGTGGAACTCTCCAATATTATTATTTAAAATAAAAGCAAAATTTGCAACACAAATCAGTTATTTTAATAAAACCTTTGGCATTCTGCAACGGACCAATTTCACATTTGCAAACACATGCGGAGAACTGGTAGAACCAAACGGCCTTAAACGAAACAATTCAGAACGTCTTTCTATCTCTACCAACAACACAACACTGGCTTCTGCAATACAAATATGGCAAAATATTGCCAAGACTGCAATATGCAAATTAGCTATTAATTTATTCACAAACATTTAATTGTGTGCTGAGTATCAAAGTCAGATGTTCCACAAACATTTCTGACAATGATTTGATGAATCCAGGTACATCCTTTTAGTCAATCTGTAACCTTTTTAATATACTGCAAAATCAAATTATAATATGCAGCAGTATAACTGCATTATGGTATTTGTCCATATTGTGCAGCCCTACACTCTAAACAATATGTTTTTTCAAGGGTTCTTTAGTAAAGACAGTGGTTCTATATAGAACCATGAACACAAACAACATCTGCATGCTCAAAGGGTTCTTTGCATGGTGAAATGGTTTTTCAGATTGATGGACAATGTGTTGTGTATGTTTCCATACAAAACCTTTTTGGAAATGGTTCTATATAGCACCAAAAAGGGCTCTTCGGTTACAAGCTTGACATTGTAACAATAGTAGAACCCTTTTGGGTGCTATGCAGAACCATATACAACACATTGTCCATCAATCTGAAGACCCATTTCACCATGCAAAGAATCATTTATGTATGCAAAGTGTTAATGTTTCTATACATAACCATTGTCTTTGCTGAAGTACGTTAAGAGTGTACTATCCAGCTCTCTCACATTCACTCAGCTGGATCATCAAAGTTGGGTACTCTTGAGTACCCAAGCTGTGAATTTTGGAATGAAGGGTGAACATCTTATGGGATTCCCAACAAGGCACTATGACCTCATGTCATACAGTTACACTAAACAGAGGTCAAAATTAAACAGAAAATGCAGAAATGATGCAGCCGTTTTGGGGAGTCGTGCTCGGAGCTTGTTCACAAATGTGAAATCAACATATCACACATGTCTTCAGTTTAATTACAGATACTCATTAAGACTTCAGTGGGTCAAGCAATACAGTGGAGAAACAAGCAATACAGAATGGCTATTTAGCTACGCTGAAAGAAGTTTCAACATTCAACTATTAAATCATTACAAATTTGCACATTTCCCCTGTAACCCACAACATTAGACCCTGTCTAAAATCTGACATACTTTAACATCTCTGTCATTGTTCTCAAAATAATTTACAATCCATTAAATATATATAGGCTATATATATATATATAATCAAGCTATTTTTATACAGATAAGAGCATATAACACAAACGGAGACACACACACACATATACACATCAGACTGAATGGAGAAATCTCAGTGGAATCATGGCTAAAGCCGCGGGCCAAAACAGAACGCGGCCGGAATACACATTCGCTCACAAATGGCAACAAAAAAAGCATCCAGTCAAACATCCTGTCCACTGTTTGTTGTGCCGTGAAGACTTAGATCTCTGCAAACAATATAAAAGCAAACACTTTGCTACTGGTGGGGAACGTCTGCGGATGTTGGGCTGGTGGGCCTGAGTGCGAGTATTTACAGGGTGAGGGAGGTGTGGATGGTGGGGTTACATCTCCTCAGCCATCTGCAGCAGAGAGTTAATGGCAGCGTCCTTGTTGCCCTGCTGGGCCTCCAACACCGTACGGATCACCTCCTGATCAAGGTTGGGGAACATGTCCTGAAGGGCCTTCAGGTCCTCCTCGCTGCAAGGGGCGCTGCGAGGGGCAGCAGCAGGTACTGCTGGCATTCCCATCGGCACCACACCCTGATTGTAGACACCCGGGACACCTGGAACGGCACAATAACCAGGAGGGCTCAGAAGTATCGTACTTTTAAAGTGGAAGTTTGAACAAATGTACGCAGCTTCCCCTCAACTTCTCAAATGTAGTCAATCAGATGAGACACGTTAGGTGTATGAAGTCTGCTTTTTTTAGCTTATACTGGACATACAAGACTAATGCAACTAACAAGCAGTGGAAGCTTATAATCCACCAATTAGCATCATTCAAATATGCTTAAGCATCACATACTTGCCTCAAACCGTGTGGAGCTATAGGGGAACTCCACCAATTTTTCAAAGTTTTTGCATATTTAAAAAGATGTAAATATTTAAAAGAAGTTTAGGGTGGTTTGGTGTGAAATGCTCCGTTCTAGAGAAACTTACTGAGTCAGAATTGTTCACAGTAGTGGTGATAGGAACCAGATGTCCACCTCTAAAAGCTCCCTCACAGAAAGTTATTACATGAAATGATTATGAATACACTGCCTGACACACTGTTTTATGATAGTTTTGAGAAAGTTTTGGCATTAAAATCCATTCATGGTGGAACTATTTTCCCCTTCATCAACATTCCATATAAAACTCAGAAGACTCGTGTAGGTTCACTGGTGGTTTTGGATGGTAAATAAAATGTCTATATTTGTGTTGTAGTCATGGCGACTGCTGGTTCCTATCACCACTGTAAAGAAATCTGAACTATTTCACACCAAATTACTCAATCACTTCACAACTCAGTGATAGAATTACGCAAATATTTTGAACAACTGGTGGAATTCCCCTTTTAAGTAATATGTAATAGACCTGATTATGTGGTTTCTGACATTGTATAACATACTTTAGTCTACTAACATGGAAAATAGTATGTCACATTGCTAAGACGGTAGCGGCAGCTCCTTAAAACCAGAACTTTTCGCCATTATTTTCACCCACATTAACCTCGCAGCTCCAGTGCTAAAACTAAAGGAGGCCATATACTTATCATGGCTGAATAATTACATTTGAGTTAAAGGGTGAAATGTGTCCGAACTCACTTCCTACAACATTGTTTAAATGCTGCAGACGTCTTTAGTGGTTCCATGTGTCACGAATTGTTGATTTTCTCCCTCTTCCTGGTGCACCTTATCTATCAAAGTATCACGCAGGTGTAAATGATCTGTGTATAGTGCATATTTGTCCCTTGCTGGAGATATTTTTCCAACCATGTCACACAGCAATAAATATTTAATCTGGAATTATATCCAAGAATTTTCGTTAATGTGTAACCAAAATCAAAGAATTTTAAGCGGAGAGGTCTGTGTACAGAATGAGAACAGATGAATGATTTGACATGAGATACAGAATTCATGTATTATTGCTGGTAATGTACTACCAGTAGAAATGTACTAGTAATATACAAACCTCAATTCCCAAAAAAAATGGGACAGTATGTGACATAAATCACTGTTTTCGGTTATTATTTGGAAAAATCCACTTTGTCACGTGTTTAAATGAAAAGCTTTGTTACTTTCTTTATGCTGTTATCTCTTGCTAAGTGGAGTCCACAGACAAGATATGTAATGTTTTATCTTATTAACTTTAATGTTTTTGTGAGTACACACTCACAGTTTACACCTGCAACACATCCCAAAAGTACAGGGGCCATTATGAGTGAGGATGGGTCGAGACTTGGCACTTTGCAACAGCAAATAATCAGTTTAAAAAAAATAACGTTCCTAAACAAGCGACTGCGAGGACTTTAGCTATTTCATCCTCTACGATGCATGATAACATCAAAAGATGGAGGAAATCCAGAGAAATCTGTGTCTAAATGACAAGGCTGAAAACCACAACTGAAAACAATTGTTTTCAATAAACACTGTTTGTTGCTGCATCTACAAATGCAAGTTAAGACTGTATTATGCACAAAGAAAACCATACATCAGCAACGTCCAGAAACGCCGCCGACTTCTCTGGGCTCGAGCTCATCTGAAATGGACTGATGCTCAGTGGCAACGTACTGCGGTCTGATGAGCCCACCTTTCAGATTGTTTATGGAAATAATAGATGCCGTGTTCTCTCAGCCAAAGATAAAAGTACTATTCAAATTGCTACTGAAGCAAAGTTCTAATGCCAGCATCTGTCATGGTGTGAGGGGGGGATTAGTGGGTAACTTTCTGTTAAAGACACTTTTAACATTAAACGATATATACAGATATCAAAAGAACATACACTACTACCTATTTGTCTTTTTTCAGGAATGTCTATGCTTATCTCAACATGACAACACCAAGAAACTTTCTGCATGTGTTACAACAGCATGGCTGAGTGTGTGGTTGCTAGACTGGTCTGCTTGTCTCTTTCTGAAAGTGTCTCGTGCATTATGAAGTATAAAATACAATAGTGAAGGCCCTGTATGGCTGCAGGCATCACATTTGGAATGTGCGTATATTTAAAAAAAAACATTAAATGTCATGGTTTTTATTTATTACAGATCAAACACCATGTATAACATTCATAAAACACAGTTTCTGGTTTCATTAGTATTTTCACATACTGTCCTAACTTTTTTGAAAGTGAGGTTCTTACTAATTACTAGAAGGTATAAATACTTCCTCCTGTTCTAATACTGGTCAGCAAGATTAAAATGTCAAAATAACACTTGAGAATGTGTATTATGAAAGCGTACGCACCTGCTATGGGCACATAGCCGACCCCCTGCTGGTATACAGTGGGCATAAGAACCACCGGCTGAGATGCCATCATCATCCCTGCTGGCATAGACTATAGGCATAGAAGAAGAAAAGGGGGAAAAGAGAAGTTAAAATTAAAATTAAAACTAAATCCTTGTTCTTTTGATTGAAACTCATGTTATGTCATCGTAACACGTTTCACGGCACTGTCAAAGTTTATTATTAATGATGATTAAATCAACGCTCATTTAACTGATGCTAATATCTAATCATGCACATATCTGCTGATAATAAAGCCAATACATAAACATAGAAATTGGGACAACAACATCTATCTGGCAAGAAATTTTACATATAATAATATATATTTCCATAGGGCCACAAATGCAGAGTAAAATGAAAAACTGAATAAAATACACACATTTTAGTATAGTAGCCCATCGACACAAAACATTCTGCTCTTCTGGAGTTCAATAAATAACACCATCAAATATCTGTTTAAAATATCAGTAAAATCTAAACATCTGTCTGATGCCAATGATTTTTTGAAACAATTATCTCCAATACCATTACACATTTTGGCTTGACAGCGTTTGGTCTGATGTTCAGTTTTACGAGATCTGAGAAATGACTGGTTTTTCTCGAGACTCTAAGTTGTTTAGTCCGAGGAATGATGCCATTTTCAGCCGGAGGTCTGAGGATGTCCTAAAATGTACCCCATAGCCCCGCCTAGTGCTAATTAACATTTGCATGTTGGTCAGTTTGAAAACGAAAACACAAAGTGGCAAATGAAAAGTAAATCTCCAGCACATGGCGTTGATGTTCGTTTGCATTTGCCTTTTCATTCTGACACCTGATGCCAAAAACTGAATTACAAACTGTCACATTGCTGTTGATCTATCCATTTTGCATTTTCATTTTAATTTTGCCTATTGCTATGAAAAAGAAATAAGAACGCTGCATCTTGATTTTGAGTTTTGACATGTATTCTCCATTTAATGAAGAGAAGCCAAAGCCAAAGTGAAGTGTGGACTTACTTTTCTCTATTAGTTTTTTTCATTTTAGATTTGGCCATGAAATACAAGAATAACAACCAAAATGAAATGACAAATAGCTGTTTTAAATTTATTTTTATTTTTGTCACAAATTACTCATGCTGATGTGAAAAATGAAATTGCAAATGTAGGTATTTCATTTCATTTTCAATTTGGTCAGGATATTTGCGCAGATGTTTGGAAAAACAAATGGCAAAAAGACGTTTCCATTTACATTTTACTGTTTTAATTTTAATTTCTTTTTTGGCTGGATTTGCCTCCCACAGGCGAAGGCCCTTTCAAAATCTCAAACTTTCATTTAGTAGTACAACTTAATTTTTAAAAATTAAGTAGTACAACTTAATTTTTATGCAGATCATGGATCTGTCTTTTTGTAATACATGGACTCTTTTCATCTTCAGTTTAATCATGGATTGTGGGACATTAACTTCCAGGATTTGACAATATTTAGTAGAATTCTTTCTTTCCTCTACCACCACAAACTTTCCTGTGCCACTGGCAGCCACACAGCTCCAAATCATTACAGATTCACCTCATGCTAAACAGTTGGCAAGGTGTTCTTTTCATCAAATGCTGCTCTTTTGGCGATTGTAGCCAGAATTAAAATTTTGTTTTTGATTTCAGAAGGTTTCTGGTGTAAGTTTTGTGTTGCACACTTCAGATGTTGACTTTTGAGACCACAGTTAAAGTTAACTTCGGATGACATGTAGATGATGTTTGTCCATCTGCTGAAGTGGGCCAGCAAAATCTTGCTGTAGGTACTTGACAGATATGACTTTGTTTAACAGTTCTCCTTAACTTATATTTCTTAACAGCATTTTGGATATTATTTACAGTATGTTTTTAGTTTGATACACAGTGAGATTCCTGAGGAGCCTATGGGTACTGAGTGTAAGCACAACACCCTGAGAGGACTGAAGGGCCACATAATTTGTTACACTCTGGAATTGTCCACACCTGACCTGGATCAAACCTAATGAGTCAAATAAGCTCTGAGCCCTTACTAAAAAATAAAACAATAAATAACACTAGTAGATCAACTGAAGGGGTGCCTAAACTTTGTGTGCTATTTCAGTTTTTCTTTCTCCTCCAATATATTACATGAAGTTTAAGTAATTTAAGCAGGGATGTCCAACTTATATGACTTCAATGTCATAAAATGTTCAAATAAAAGTCTCAGTATAAGCTGCTCAAGGCTTGGACACACTACAGAACTTTTAGAGTTCTAACAGGTTTTAAAACACAGGGTATCTCCCACTATCCAACTAGTTTCTGTAGACTATCTGGGCGACTGAAATATCAGGGATCACACAATATTCAACTTTTTAGCTGTTGTTAAACCAAACCAAACCTACCGAGCTTGTGCAAACTCACACGTTCTCCTGTTACTAGGAGATGCAAATAAACAAACATGGAGCAGCTGCTGCTGATGCTGCTGTTCCCTCTGCCATTTGCGCTGACACAGTAAAAAAGTAACAAGTAAGCACATTTAAGTGAGGCTCATAGATGTAAAAATTTGACCAGTTTAATAGTTTTGGGGCTTTGAGCACACAAGTGCTCATGCCTTAAAGTCAGTTCATGAAAAAGCTACACCACACGAGTGCATTTTCTGTTTCTAACTCGCTGTGTTTTCTTCTTTCGTGCTCTCAGTTTTCATTGGCTGCATGAGACCGTTCAGGATGAGTTGCTGACCAGTAAACACAGCACTCTTAAAAAACACATTTTTTCAAGTTTTTTTTTTTTAGTAAAGAAATGGTTCTATATAGACTCCGACAGACCAAAAATCTGCAGACTGAGAATCTGAAAAACTGGGGGTAAAAGTCATGCAGTGTAACCCCATCTTAACCCTGGCTTTAATTGGCCATAATTTGTGTGTAAACATCACTCCAAAAGCTCAGACTCACAGCGAAGGACATGATGAGATTAATCATGCCCTCTTTATCATCGCCCTGTCTGCCGCTCAGGCTGTACCACTCGTCCACCACAGTGCCCTCTCGCAAGCTTTCAGGGATGGTCACATGTGTCCATGCTATGCGGTCATCCATGGAGAACGCCCTCTGAAAAACACCACAGGAAAACATAGTCAAATTTGTAATGACGTTTCTGTTATTTTGTGCAGCAAAGACATTAGACACTCAGGCCAAACTCTGGTGTCACAGTTTTTGTATTTTGGTTATTTTTTTGGGGACAAAAGAATAAATTAGCAATCAAAAAACAAGGGAGGGGAAAAAAAGAATGAAGGGAGCATCTCCCCAAGCACTGAACACACGAGGAATTTACAAAATCAAGTAAAGCATATGAAGAACATAAAAAAGGGCAACTTAGATAGTAATACATTATGAATAATTACACTTGGTTATTGATCACAGTACAAACCTCATCAAAAATCTCCAGGTAGAAGGAGTCCACTCCTGGAGGGACGGTGCACTGAATAACTTTGTTCCAGCGAGGATTTTTTGCTCCGTTGTGAGCGGTGGGGGTTTCGTATACAGCGTACCCGAGGCGGATCCTGCAGTAGGGGTCCATGCGGGTCATCCCATAGTTCTTAGCAAGCATTGCCTGGAAAACAATAATAAAGCATATTAACAGCCATTTGTGATTTTGAATTACATCAATATCTTCCAGCAAAACTTGCATGCAAAATCACTTAATTCAAGACTGACCACTGCTGTTAATGCAAAACAAAGTCACCTTTCACTACATTCCATCTGAACAGATCAAGAATGGCGAAAACACACTCCTGAGCAAAAAAGGTCTTGACAACAAATAATTTCTATGCAAATTAGAAATAATTTTAAAAACACAAAGTAAGTTAGTGTGGGAGAGCTTATCCCTTTGACTTCTTTAAACGTAAAAGACAGCCTTTTACAGAAAGAAGGGTCAATATAGTTCCAATATTGAGAGCTTCAAACAGCTGAAAAACACTGCCAAACTGTTTTTGTTTAAGGAGAGACCATATATTCTTTATAGGGTTTAAATCTGGACTCTGACCAGCCAAAACCACTGGTAAAAAATATTATATTTTGGGCTTGGAACAGCATCATAATTGTTATTATTCTGCTCAATTTTTTCTATTATTAATTTTAATATAAAAGTGAATCACGTTTCATGATTGCATCTGTAAAATATGGAACAGTTGTAAATTTTGCAATAATGCCATTCTGGGCTGACGTTTTATGTTTTGAAATGGTGGAAAGTTTAGGGAAGGGGTCAGATATTCAGATGTAATTTGACTTGAAATGACAAATACTTTAATAAAAGCTTAAAAAAATGAATAAATAAACAAATAAATATTTTGGGCTTAGCCTATTTCTTTTGCATGACAGCATACTGCTGACCCCTGTTCATACACACTTCCACCACAGTACCTGGACCACAGTGATAGTGAGTCTGCCCACTGTTCCGATGGAGCCGCCGTACTGGAGCTGCCTGGCAGCCTGAGCGTCCATCTGTACCTGCTGCTGCTGCTGGGTGGGGGTGATCCTTAGGAAGTCCTGGGGCAACTCCCCAATGTACACCTGCACACAGAAGACTCAATTTCTGAAAATGCACATTTCTCCATGTTCTGATGTTCCTGTACTGCTGCCATGCCATGACCCCCGACCAATCTACCCAGATAAGCAACGTAGGAAGTTAAAATTTGCAGCACAGGCAAACAGATAAATCTTTTGGGCTACTTCTTAACAATGAATGAATGTTATATTTCCTGAACTAACACCTAATGATGGCTCCTGCAGGTCCTTAAAGGTGGAATTCCACCCACTTATCAAAACTTCTGCATGCAAACAAAATCAATCAGAATGGTTTGGTGTGTTCTTGATAAATTAACATAGGGAGGGACACTGACTCTTTACTCTTACCATTTAATCAATGTTTTTATGGCTTAATCTAGAGCGTAAGAAATGTTTTTTATTGCATTTGATATAAATTTAACCCTTATTGTTCACAGTGGTGGTGATAGGAACCAGACATCCACCTCTAAAAGTTCCCAAACAGAAAGTTATTACATGAAATGGTTATGAAGATGCTGCCTGATGTCTGAAACAAATATGCTGATGTATATTTATATTATATTGTCTTATATCCTATTTAAACTATATGTACATTTTTAAAGGTTACAATCACCAACATTCCATATACAACTTAGAAAGAAGCCAAGTGTAGGTTCACTGGTGCTTCTGGATAGTAAATAAAAAGTCTATATTTGTGTTGTACACTGAGATCCCTGGTTCCTATCACCACCATTATAAATGAACTCTACATTCTTTACAATGCACCACTTTACATCTAAATGCTCTGAATGAGGCTGTTAATGTCATAGTACTGTGCAAAACTTTTGCTAATTGGTGGAACTCCCCTTTATAATTAAATTGACTTTAAAAATGTTACAAAATGTTTTTACTTATTACAGGTGTTAAATTCTAAAAGGATGCCTAAATAATGAGCTAAAAAAAGAACCACTATTCAGAACAATCTGCCAACCAGAAATATCCAGACTGTGGTCATGTGGTCAGAAGTTGGTCCGTGACCAACGATGAAGGCTTAAAGGGGGCAGAACTGATTACAAAGCAGCTCTAAACTCTAAAAAGACAAGGAAAAGAGAGATTAATCAGTGGAGAGATTAGGGAGCTTAGTTTAGACAGGAAAAGCAAGGAGAGCCACTGACTACAACATGTCATGGGTTTTCACCCCAAAGCTTGTATCTAGGTCTGAACCAACGTTTCAATATAACAGGCATTAACATGTTCTATATGAATATAATCAGCATTCAATAGTCATTCCACAAGTAGTAACACCACTGACATAATTACCAAAATTTAAGCTTTGTAAAATAAAAAAATAGAGCGCAGTGACACTTCAGATTCAAAGTCACACTGTATGGAGGAAATGACTAATTGTACATCAATGTTGTTACTCTATTTCAAATTTAACATTTCATGAGTAACACCTCTGGAATAATTTTGTGACACAGGAAACTGTCTGTATTTTAGCGAAACGTATATCAGACATATAAAAAGAGATTCAACTAAACAGAGGTTTTACTGACTAGGGGTGGGTGATATGGCAAAAATACAGTATCATGATACTTTAAAATGTTTTCACGATACACGATACTTATCAACATATTTTTCATAACTGAAACAGATGGCTTTGATAAATGAATATAGATAAAAAGCCCCAGCAGTGTCACCGTTACATAAATACTGTTGAAATGATTAATATACTTATAAAAAATATAATTATTATTCAACATTTTACACCTTGTTCTGCACTGAATACAACGAAACAGAACACATCAGTGTTAGTTAGTCAGAATCATTTAAGTACTGACCATATACACAATACACTCAGAAAAGCCTATTGCAACACTGTTTATCATGATAAAAATAAAATACTGTCATACTGCCCACACCATCCCCGACCATGGACGTTTTTTAAATGACATTTTATGTTTCTGTAATTCTAAAATGCTCCTCATCATTCAAATAAAAATTAAAAAAGAAAATATTATCACAGATTATTGCTGGTTAAATTAAGAATAGAAAAAAAGAGAACATACAGATTTGAACTTTCTGTGGTTTATTCTTAAGATTATTTAAGATCATTTTCATAGCTGTACATGCACGGCTCTGTATATAATAGAGATGCGTGACACGGCAAAAATATATCACAACACTTCAAGAAGTTTTCATGATACATGATGTCAAGATACTTATTTTTTCTGGGGTTTTAATAAATTGGAAAAGTTAGCAGTGCCACATTTTAAAGAGTACTATCTAATTCTGAGAGTTACAATGATTTTTATTCAAAGTTTCTCACAAAGCGCTTAAACAGAACTAATTAATAATTATGCTTTCTCCGTTATAAAACATGCAGCTGTTTAGTACCTTTCAAAGGGGAATTCTCAAAATTTTCATTATTAAACAGTTAAGATGTAAACTAAATTGTTCAGAGTGGTTTGGTGTGTCTGATAAGTTGGAGCAGACAGTAGTGCCAACTTTAAAAAAATACCATCAATAGCTATGAATGCAGTTATTTGTAACATTTTTCCTCCTATGCAGCACTTAGAGAGGCATACTGTGATATAACGCAACATAATTTAGCATGATAACAATAGGTTGTCATACTGTCCAGCCTACACTCTCAAAAAAAAAAAAGTTTTTTCAAGGGTTCTTTAGTAAAGAAAATGGTTCTATATAGAACCATGAACACTCAAAGAACCCTTTGCATGATTAAAGGGTTCTTTGCATCATGAAAGGGTTCGTCAAATTGAGGTAAAATGTGGTATATATGGTTCTATATAGAACCTTTTTTGAAAAGGATTCTTCCATTGTAGAAAGCTTAACATCGTAACAACAGAACAACTCTTTTTGGTGCTATACAGAACCACATATACCATATTCTACCTCAATATGATCACCCTTTCAAGTTGCAAAGAACCCTATAATCATGCACATAGTTCTTTGAGTGTTCATTATTATATAGAGAACCATTTTCTTTACCTTAGAACCCTTGAAGTCCCTTTTTTAAGAGCGTAGCTGAAAAGATTCCGTTTTTGCCCAACAGCAGCAGGGCGAAGAACCGCATAATCCGCCCATGAACGGCAGCTTTAGCTTAGTTATTGTTAGATTATGATTCTTTTATGAGTATTTATCATCATTACACATCAAAACAGCTAACATAAAGACCAAGGACATGACTGAGTGAAATCTTCACTATAAAATGGTTTATACTTATTTTGGAGCGGCCAATTTTGGACTCTAGGACTGGCTAGTCTGTTGGCATTAGTATACACGACACATAAAAGTGTACAAAATGACACCATGACACCCTTTACAAACATGAAGTGTGCATTTTTTACCTTCAACACAAACACTTATTTAGTAATTGGAGTCAGAATTTTGTTAGCCGTGACAATAATCGTGTAATTTCATTCTGTTGTCGTCGCTCAAATGAGCCAACTCTTGCTATTCGTACAGCTTCCTGTTCCAATTGTCCAGTTCCACCTTAAATGGTGCAGCAGTTACATTCTGGCGAGTCAGGCGCCACAATGTAACTACGGCAACATTTAAGGTGGAACGGAAAAATACGAACAGGAAGCCAACTTCAGCTTCGTAACGCTAGCTGACATCAGCTTATTTAACCACATTTACGTTATTCCTTGTGTGTCAGCATTGTTTGCGTGGCTAATACAGATGTAAAGCAGATTTCCTCACCTGTCCGCGCTGAGTGCTAATTGTCGTAGCCATTTTAGTTGAAGATTGAGAGAATTAGGGTTCAGAACAAGTGATCCGATTTAGGTAAACAGTCGAGATCTTCTTTTATGCGTAAACCGCGGGGTGGAAACCTCTACTGCCCTCTGTTGTCCCTTACTGCACTCTGCTGCTCATCTACTGTCTATTACTGCCCCCTACTGCCCCTAAAGAGGCATTACACTAATGTTAAATGCAAACAGAGCGATTGAGGGGGGTTTGGTGTGAATTGTAAAGAAATACAATTTCATAATATCATAAAACAATATATCAGACACCAGGTAGTGTATTCATAACCATTTCATTTAATATCCTGCTGTGAGGGACATTTTAGAGGTGCACGTCTGGTTCCTATCACCACCACTGTGAACAATTCTGACTGTAAGGTTCTCTAGAACAAAGCATTTCACACCAAAACACATGGTGACCCCTGGTTTCCATCACCACCACTGTAAAGAAATCTAAGTCTCTGAATGACTTAGCGTACATCTCAAACACTGAATTATGCAGGAATTAAAAAAATTTGGAATTCCCCTTCAAGTCAAGTGTATTTTGGTCACAGGGTAGAACTGCAACAGTCAGTACGCATCCTTTACTTTCACGACATTCACAAAGCACTCAGAACTTGCAGTGTTACCTTTACACATACTCAGCCTTCTGGCATTTACAAGTCTGACTTGTCCCACTCCCACAGATGACCCACCGCGTGTAGTACATCTACGTCATTGTACTGGGCTCATTATCATATAATCATTACTCGTAAACCAGTTTTAGAACAGGTCTTGACATTTTATGACCTTTGGTTTGAGGTGGGCGATACAGAAATGTAATATGTAATAACACTTCAAAGAAGTTTTTATGATACACAATATGACACAATATTTATTTTATCTGTTAATCTGATAAATTGGACCAGAATCACGTTTAAAAAATACTATCAAAAATTCGAAATCCAATTAATTTTATTCAACATTTCACACACTGTGCTGCACTAAATCCAATTAAACAAGACTAATTTTGCAAATATGCAGTAGGAAGTGTTTTTAAGTACTCAGAAAAGCATACTGTGACAAATTGTTAAGTAATTTATCACAGTAACAATCATTATTGGCACATTTCACAGCTCTAGCTTTTGTAAATGAATCAATGAATTTATTTGTGTGTGCAATAATTTGTATTGTAATGCTCATGATTTTACTAAACCAACATTTTTACAGAAGGTCAATGCAGCAAGATGCTCCTACATGTTACTAAGGGCCCTGTTTCCAAAACACATACTGCGGATCAGTCTAAGACTAGGCTTAATCCATGTCATATTAGTCTAGCCACACCTAATAACTGGTATTGTGAAAGAGAGTGACAGAACTCGTAGTTAAACCTCCTTTTCACTATCATATGTTGCCATTCAGGTAAGTCAGGGTTGTATGAGCATTACTACCTGACTTCTGTTTGAAGGAGGAGTTAAAATAAGATTTACTTCCTCGTTTGGCTTGCAGTAGATCCGGAGGACAGCAGTGGATGAGTGAATAACACATTAAGGTAAGATACACAACAGATTATATCTTCCTGAGAGTGGCTTATTTGAAGGTTTGTTTATTGGAGATCACTAAAGCAGCGTTTACTACAGTGCTGCCGCAAACCGGGTGTAGTTCTGCTATATGCTAAAGAGACCACGACACGTCTACGTCTACTGCTAAATGCAGCCCAGATTAAAAACTCTTACGGCACGTAGTATATCTTATTTCTTTTATATTTTATATTTCGCTTGTCTTTGCTCAGCTGAGCTGTTTAACTGAGTAATTACTGTGATATTATGAGTAGTTCGCTGTACAGGAAGTTGTCAGACAATGTGGAGCCGATTTCTTTCCCCATCCGTTTTCCGACAAGTCACGCCTTCCTGCGCTCGGATTTGCTGGTGGTTTACACTGACAAGCAGATGGCCAATAAGACAGCACTACATCATCGCGTTCAGTTCTCAAATTTGCGTATACATAAATTTATTTTCACACACAATGTCTCTTGTAGGGCAGGGAAATATCTAATATCAAGAAAAAACAACAATAATAAAAAATACCAGAATTCATAGCCGATATAGAGAAATATGAAGATTTTATCTGTTTTCCTTAGTTTATTTTACACATTTAGTCTTAAAATAGACCAGCTGTGTCCATGCTTTAAAAGACAGCATTTGAAATAATCTCCTGTAAATTCCAGGCGGCTGTTTAATGTTCATACACTTGTTTTCAAACGATATGAGCTCCACTGCGATCTGTGGTTGCTATGGTGACGTGGATGATCTCTCAACGGACCAGTCATTTGCTTGAACTCACAAGCCAATTAGCTGCGCCAGTTAGCATTTTATGCTACATTAACTTTAGCATTGCAACTAGTTTGCTTAGAATTGATCAAATACATTGGCAGTGAGCTCTTTGATGGTGTTATCCCTTTACTATGCTAAATCACCTTCAGCATCACTAGCTAGCACCGGTTAACATTTTGCCATTATTTTCTCACTCACTGTGGTAAATTACCTTTAGCTAATTAGGGCCGGCCTGTTAATTTAGCATTTTGCCATTCAGTACTTCAGATTAGCTTCGGCCTTACTGTATTGTTTTCCCGTTCGCTACGCTAAATTGGCTTCAGTACCACTGGTAAATTGCTAGCAATGGTTAGCATTTTGTTAGTGTTTCCCCATTCCCTATGCTACATTAGCGTTAGCATCAGTGCTAGCCTTTCTAGCAGCTGTTAGCATTTTGTCATTAGTTTCCCCATTCTCTATGCTAAAGGGCCGGCCTGTTAGCGTTTGATCATTCAATACTTCAAACAAGCTTTAGCCTAACCCTAAACAGTGCGAACACTAGCCTGGGCTTTAATTTAAACTGCTGAATCTGGCGTCTTACTCGAATTTCCCGTTCCACCTTAAAATGTACTAACCATGGTAGCGTTAGCTACTAACTGCCGCCAACTTCACAATTTCCCTACTGTGAGCTTTCGCTTGGGGGCAGTATGCGGTGACCGTGTTTTGGTTTTATTAACGGAAGAAGAAGTAGGGGGGAAGTGGGCTGTAGTCTTAAAATGGCCCGTCTTCGATGATTTTGCGTTTTTATTCTCATTTTTTGTCCCTTCACCATGAACAGGACGCAGCTGAAACGGTCGAGGATTCTGAGGATGGCGATGAGCGACACCGGCACGTTAGAGGAGGAGGGCAAAGGGGAGCCCTTCGTGATCCGAGCGCTGAAAATAGCCCTGGTGGTGGCTCTCTACTGGTTCGTGTCCATCACCATGGTCTTCCTGAACAACTACCTCCTGGACAGCAAGGAGCTGGACGCCCCGCTCTTCGTCACCTTCTTCCAGTGCGTGGTCTCCGTGTGCCTGTGCTGGGTCATGAACGCATTGTCCACCTTCTGGCCGGCGTGTGTGGACTTCCCCTCCATCAAAGTGGACCTGAAGGTGTCCAGGGAGGTCCTGCCCCTCTCGGTGGTCTTCATCTCTATGATCACGTTTAATAACTTATGTCTGAAAAACGTGGGGGTCGCGTTTTACACCGTGGGCCGATCACTCAGCACTGTCTTTAACGTGTTACTGTCTTACGTGATCCTCAAGCAGACCACCTCGTTCTACGCGCTCCTGTGCTGTGGAGTCATTCTGGGTAAGTGAGAGCAGAAGTGGAGCCTAAAGGGGAATCCCACCAACTTTTCGAAATTTCTGCACAATTCAGTGTGTAAGATGTAAACACAGTCAATCAGAGTGGTTTGGTGTGAAATGGTTCAGATTTCTTTACAGTGGTGGTGATAGGAACCAGAGGTCGCCATGACTACAGCACAAATATAAACATTTTATTTACTATCCAAAACCACCAGTGTTGATGATCTGAAAAAGGTGAAAAATCTGAAATAATAAGTTCACTGGGGACTATTTTGCCTCACAGTGCCCTACATGTGTCCCTCCACTATAAACATTATAAAAACATATTTTAGTTTTAGTCCAAAATCTTCTCAAAACTCATAAAACTCTCAGACATCAGGCAGTGCATTCATAACCATTTAATGTAATAACTTTCTGTGAGGGAGTTTTTGGAGGTGGATGTCTGGTTCCTATCACCACCACTGTGACAATTCTGACTTGTAAGTTGTAAAGAGTTCCCCTTTAAAACAAGCTCCAGTAAAAGTATACACTTGAAAAAAGATCAAGGGTTTTTTATTAAAGGAAATGGTTCTGTTTAGAACCATGACTTGTACAGCTTCAGTAGCTGCTGTGATAAATGGTTTTTTGCGTGGTGAAATGGTTCCTCAGACTGATGGAGAATGTGTTGTTTATGGTTCTATGTAGCACCAAAAAGGGTTCTGCTATTGTTTTTGATGTCAAGCTTCTAACAATAGAAGACACCTCTTTGGTGCAATATACAAACATTTTCAAGAAGGTTCTATATAGAGCTCATGGTTCTAATTTGAACCATTGTCTTTACCAAAGAACCTTTAAAGAACCATGTTTGTAAAGACTGTATGGTTACTGCTAAGAATGTATATTGTTGACGTTCAGAGAGGTGTAAATAACAAAAGGAGCACGTAAGATAATACGACAGGTTCTGTCTTTGTAACTGTAGAGGGAGATACCACTGTCAACTAGGACCGGGGTGATTACAAAAAATATTAAGTATATATTGAAAATCCACAAACAAATAGAAAAAAACAGTATTTATTAAACTACTGCTCAGATACCGAGAATGAAATTAAACTTCCAAAAAGTGCAATTAGAAAGTACATGTGATGGATTCAAGTGGAACCGAGGACAAAACCCCTCTCCATACTTGGGTTGCAGTAAAAAGTAATGTCATTTGAAAATAATCCAAAAAGGCATGACCATGTTTACACAGATTTATTGGAAAATTGCTGTATTTGTAGCTCATCGATTCATTTTCATTTGATTACTGAACCCAATGAAACAGCTAGTAAACATTGCGGCTAAATATAATATATACTGTGGTCTGTGTTACTGTAGACGACAGCTGGGATAAAGCGTCCCTTTTACTCGAGACGTCATATAGACCGGTTCAGTGTATGGGTAGAAGTACAGTAAAGGTGTCCTCCAGGGATAACGTGACATTTTAATTGAGAGCACAAATACGGATACAGCCACTAAACTGCCGTGTTAGAGTGTTTGCCGTAATAGCCTGTATTCACAATGCAGTGCGAAGGTCAGCCAGTGGACGCCATGAATTGTTGAAATATACATTCAGTACAGCACCATTTTTTATGGACTGGCAATGAATCTCAAATTTCATCATGATTCAGTTCGATTCAATTATTTTGATACAGTTCAGATTTTTTAAAAATACATTGAATAGACAAAAGTAACTGGAGAGACAGTTTACACCAGGGCTGTCCAAAGTTTGGCCCCAGGGCCAATGTGGCTTGCGGATTGATTTTAATCGGCCTTCTGGTCCATACATTGAATTTGTTCCCTTCACTTGACGGTGGCTGCAGTGCTGTAAACCTACAATTAATTTACATTTAACCTGCAAATTAATTCACTGAATACCATTTAGCTGTGACTACACACACACACACACACAGTGCAGCTGACAGTGACAACTGGCTAGTTCAAGAGCCATCAAATGTTGATGTCAAGTGCCTCATATGTTGATATTCATATTGATGAATTCAATATTAAAATACATTCAGAAACCAAGCATGAACACTACAGTAAATATTCAAGAAACAAGAAGGCAAAAAAATGAACCCAGCTTTTTATCAGAGCAAATTCAATAGTTTGTACAGTAAATGTTAAATGCTGTACATGTTTGTGTTTTTCATATTTTGAATACTATATTTTAAATCATTTATGAATAATATTTTGGCAAAGAATGACCTAAACACGAGTGATTGCATTTGTTGAATATTACAATTTGTGATTATAATAGATTGCGAAACTGATCCGCATTTAATGGTGTTCAGTTGAAACTAGCGTATGTTGGGCAATAAAATATGAGGGTACACAAATGTCTGCTTGACCTATGTTGATGCATTTTTATCTTTCTACCAGCTTTTATTGACCTAAGACTGAATGATTGTCTTATATAGCTTATCTAAGCTGTTTTTCAGACCAGTATTTTGACTTGTGGCTGAAATTGCAGTTATTCTCTGTATGTTAAAGTCCAGGCCTGATCTAGCCAAGAATATCCACTTTTTCTGGCTTCGGGTGAACACCAGACAGCCACTTAGTTCTGTGTTGTCATTTATGCATCGCGTTGTGTTCGGTGGCTTCTGCTTGGTCTAACTCATCCACAGTCAGTTCACAAGCTCCGTTATGAAGCAGAAAATTCCCCACTCAAAACTTGTAGACTGTTATTAAAATTGCAGCTGTTCTTATTAAAGATGCACAGATATCACTTTTTTTCCTTCCAATACCTGATCCTTTAGTATCGTCCAATACAGAGTACTGATGCCGATACTAACTCTATCTAAGTAAATATCGCCGTCATTCACGCTGTCAGTATCAGCGACTTTCAGTGCTTTTCTGGCTTGGTGGTGGCGACGGGCTGCAAGACCCCGCTGCTGGGTGATGCAGCTGACCGATCAGCTAAGCGGCTCCGTTAGCATGTCCTTCACACCAAAAAGTGCCGTTACAGATTCTGCCGAGAGCGTTTTTACTGCTGCTTGTCTCACACCGCCTTTGTGGCGTCAGTCATAGGTATTGGTATCCCCTGCGTTTAAGTGCAGTATAGGCACCGATATCAATACAATATCAGTATCTGTGCAACACTACTTGCGAACTGAAAATTACGCTTCTTAAAATTGCAATTTTGTTATTCAAAGCGATTAATTTTTTAGCGCTCAGTTGAACTCACCTGATCCATTAGTTTCTGTCCTCAGAAGTTGTTGAGGAGCTGAATAGGTTTGTTAGATTTGGTTTGGAGAAACCTGCAAGAAGGCCTGTCTCTAGGAGCAGCACTGGCCTTATACATGTCTCTCCTGTACACTGTAGGGGTCTTTTCCCGGACAGGGATTATGCCTAGTTCTGATATACCTTTTCCTAAAATTAGACTACGACTAGCCTTAATCCCTGTCCAGGAAACCAACAAACCAAGTACTAGTGCATCAGTGTAACTCTGACGTTGTCTGACCTCTCTGTTTTCAGGTGGTTTCTGGCTTGGTGTGGATCAGGAAGGTGCAGCAGGCTCCCTCTCCTGGTCTGGAGTGTTTTTTGGTGTTCTTGCGAGTGCCTGCGTCTCCCTGAATGCCATCTACACTAAAAAGGTGATGCCAGTGGTGGACGGAAGCATCTGGAAGCTGTCCTACTACAACAACCTGAACGCCTGCTTTCTTTTCCTGCCCCTAATTGTTGTGTTCGGAGAGGTGGGACGTCTGGTCTCGTTCAGCCGCCTGGGGGACTTGAATTTCTGGGGTATGATGGTAGTGGGCGGAGTCTTTGGCTTTGCCATCGGCTATGTTACGGGCCTCCAGATAAAGTTCACCAGCCCACTAACACACAACGTGTCTGGCACGGCGAAGGCGTGTGCTCAGACTGTGATGGCGGTGGTGTATTACGCCACCAGCAAGTCCGTGCTGTGGTGGACCAGTAACATGATGGTGCTCGGGGGGTCATTCGCTTACACATGGGTCAAAGGGCTGGAGATGAAGAAAGCTCCACCTCCTCGGGACTCATCAGAAGCCGGAGAGAAGCTGTTAAAAGGGGAATCAGGAGTTTAAAGAAAAGCCTAAAACAGAGATAAAACTGGGCATGAAGGACTTTATACTGGTTTGTCAGACTGAGATGAACTTTGTTGTGGGGGAAATGCAGAAGAACACTTTTTGGAATTTAAAAGAATATTGCCTTCTTAAAAGAATAGTCCAGGTTCATGTCTTTGTTCTTTATTGTGCTGTCGATTACCACAGACAATAATTTAAATATCTTTCTCTGTACGTACAAAGGAACAAAAAACTCATTTACCTCAAACTCACTATAATAGAAGCCAATGGGCAGTTGCTGAATGCCATTTGAAGACTGTAGAATCTACAATCATTCCACTAAGAGCATTTTTACATCTTTACATTTTGCATGTTTTTACATGTTGCTTTGCTTACTAGTGAACACTAACTGAAATAATACAGCACAATTTTCTGTAATCCTACATATGTTATTACACAGAATCATACATAGAATAAAAATTTCTGTTGAGTGTTAAAATATAAGCAAGAACACTCATTCTGTGAAAGCTAGCATAAATGTTAATAGCGTTGCCATTAGCTTCCTAACTAGCTAAAGTCACCCTAGTAAACTCTTTACAGACCGTACATTGACATTCTGACATTCTAATGCACTTATTGGTCTGTAGTAGTGCTTGGTCACTTTATCCTCACTTGGAAGAATAAAGAATATACTAAATTGTTGTCAGCTTTAGCTGCAAGTGTTATTAATCACATACATACTAGTAATTAGTTAGTTAATTACCATTAATTATTTAATTAAGTACTATTAATTAATAAATAGTACAAACTTCAATTCTAAAAAAAAAAGGACAGTATGTGAAATGTTATTAAAAACAGAAAGCAGTCATTAGTCAATTTTGTTTGACCTGTATTAAATTGAAAACGGTACAAGAACGCAATATTTCATGTTTTACCTTTTGTTTGTTTGTTTGGTACCAATTTTGAGCACCTAAAAACATAAAACTGGAACATTCAGTGCTGGACTGATGTCAGATGGAAAAGGCACAGCTCCAGTTTTCTGGTGCTGAAGGTTCAGATACTTTGTACAGTAGAAAAATGGTCTAAAAGCACACAGCATTTACACAGAAAAAAGGCTTTTTTGGTATCCATATTAGTCAGTCGAGACCTGTGACCTCTGCCTGTGCCACTACGCTTATCAATGACCAATTCTTCCTTCTAGAAAAGTAGATCCAGAAGTATAGTATTATATAGATTTGCAGCTAAACTTGCAAGTTTTGCCGCTGCCCATTGGCTTCTGTTGTAGGTAAAATTTGAGTCAGTGTGTTTTCTGTTACGTGTATGTGTGAATGTATGTGTCTGCCCTGCGATGGACTGGTGACCTGTCCAGGGTGTATCCTGCCTTCCACCCAATGACTGCTGGGATAGGCTCCAGCGACCCAGAAGGTATAAGCGGCTTAGAAAATGTGTGTGTGTGTGTGTGTGTGTGTGTGTGTGTGTGTGTGTGTGTGTGTGTGTGTGAGAGAGTTTCTGTTCTTTTCTAAGTTTGGGGAAACGTTGAAATTATTGTCCATGATAATCAGCTGTATGAAACAGATGTGTCAGATAGAGATGAGGATGGAACGATGCTGCCGTTGCTTTATATTAAGGATGAAACAGGGCTACTCAATACCAATAGATGTTTTCTGTTAACTGATTAACGAGGTGTAAATTTTACTGGAAATGGTCTTTTTATTATTATTAATGGAAATATAGCTTTATATAGTTTACGTGGTTTTAGTTTATGTGGGTTTTGCACTATGTGTGTATGCGTGTTTTATTTGAACCACACATTGAAGATACAGACTTTCCTCAGTAATGTGAATCATTTTAAACATGCCTTGTTTTAAACAAACACTGTTTGATGTAACATTTTGTGGGGAGAGTAAGAACTGTGAAAATACAGCATGAGGGAACAGTGTAAACATTTCCATTTCACTCCTCTGTTCAGTTTATATCTAAACTTTGTGTGCTGTGAGACTCTGCTGACCAGTAGCCACAACTTAGTAAAGTCAGATGAAATTGCCTGAAAAAAACTTTCTTGTTAGACATAGTGGGGAAAATGGGATTGCTAATTAATAAGGGTGTAATGATTTCAGTACTGTACAGTAGAGCTGTAACAAACATTTGACAATATTCTGTAAATGCAATAATTAAAATATTTGGACACAGGAAAGCCATTCATGTGGAAACTGACATGTTTACCGCTTATTAATAATAACAGTGAGTGCGTTTACATGCACTCAATAATCCGATCATATTCGGATTTCTGCAGTTACCTGATTATTAAGTGGTCGTGTAAATAGCACACTCTGGTTTCTTAGATCAGAGTAGGGTCTAGAAATCTGATTAAGAAATACAATAAAGAGGCTGGATTTTAGCTCAGTAATCAGATTTCTCAGTGCATGGGAACTCTTACTCTGATTTCTTTCGGCGAATGTGCGAAAACAGACAGCGGTACCGGAAATGGAAGCAAAACACTTTTGGAGAGACGCTGAAACCAAATACAAGCCTGACAGAATGAAGGATTTAAATTTTCTTCATCTTCTAGAAAAAAAGCTGTGGCATGAAGTTTGAGTTTTGCATTACATTTACGTCACGTGCTCTTCTGTGAGTTTATTGGCCGGTTTCGAAGCTGAAATCTGATTACTGTCTGACTCATGTAAACCTGGAGTTTCCCCATTATCTAATTACTCAAGAGCATGAAAACATGTTGATCGGATTACTGACACAATCTGATTTTCTGCAGTTATTGGATTATTAACTGCACGTAAACGCACTCAATGTTAATAAGTAATTACAAGGTTCATTATGTTTTTCTGTTTAGTTATTAAAGTGAAACATGTCTTTGTTATTCTTATGGAATATTTGAATATTTGAGATAATATTTGTTAGAATAATTCAGAAATTATTATTATCGAATTTCCAAAATATTGCTTCTGAAAAAACTAGATTGAGAACTGACTACTTACAAAACTAGGCATCTTGTTTCAGCCTATCAGAGTACAATGGGCAGAGATGGGGTGGAGCTTAGGGTAAGGACACACCCACCCTCAAATGACTAGGCTTATTTTAAGAAGAGCTTGTAAACTGTGATTTTAGGGGGTTATTCTATTAAAGGACAGAACAGCAGATGTTCTGCTGGAGAACTTCTATTGATCTGAGCCGAACCAGCCTGTGTAAAACAGAACCAGAGCTCTGCAGAATCAAAAACACGTATCAAGAATATAAACAAATCTTGACCTCAAGATTGAAAATCATTCCAAACGTGAAAATATGTGTTAAATATGTACTAAATAAGTTCACAGAGTGTTTGGTTGAATAGGCAGCCTAACATGACCTATGAAAAGCATAAAGTGTGAAAGTTTACCGACTCCGGCTTTAGAGTTTACTCAGGAGCAGCATGAAGGATATGAGAGGTGTGTTCAGAACAGGACGTCCTGTAAATAAACGGAAGGTAAATAAAAAGGAATAAAGAGGGTATTGATGGACAGCAGCTTCAGTTATGAAACACTAGGTTTTTACTGAAGTACTTACACATGCTTGTCTTCATGACGTCTGAACCATAAGGAGATCTACGCTGTTTTTTTTATGGGAACATCTTTGAAAAAAACGCCCGATCGCGTCCAGTGCTAAACAGAAATGTTCCAAAGCCGATGTGTTTCGTACTGTGCACGTTTGTCCCCTGAATGCCACTGGATCCTCTGAATTATAAGGTCGTTTAGCAGTGATAACTTTAGAGGAGAAGCAAAAAACATACTTTACTTTTAATGTAAGTCAGTGGAACCAGACATTTTTTCAAGTCATTTTAGGCTGTTTCTTTTGTCCATTCCTCATGAAATTTACACACAATGTAAAGGATAACAGGCACTTTCAAATTATGTCAAAAACTGAAAAACTAAAAAATGGAGATGTGAGGTTTTCAGCGACATATTGTTACATACATGCTACGAGTAAGCAAACACTGCTGTGCATGTAAGTTGCGACATCTGAAAGGAAGTGGAAGGAGAATGTGATGTGAATGGTTCTATATAGCACCAGAAAATATTCTTCTATTGTTACGATGTCAAACGTGTAACCTGTAAGAATGTCTTAATCATGCAAAGGGTTCCTGAATGTTTATGGTTCTATAAAGAACCATTTTCTTTGCTAAAGAACCCTTGAAGAACCATAATTTTTAAGTGTGTACGAGTGGTGTCATTGACGTTTGTCCAGGATGTTCAGACTTCTGCACACGGTTGGGATGACAGAGCTCCTCCTGAGCTTGAATTTGAGTTTACTCGCAAGCTTCCTAGAGTGACTCAGGTCAGCAGATGTTTCAGCAAGCAGGATGCTGCTCTATAGAGGAGGAGCTTCAGTGAAGATCAGTTAGAAATGGGTCTCGTTCCAGGTCTTCAGTCTGTTGTTGTGAAGAATAACAAGCAGCGTGTGGGACTTTGCTTCATTTATATTAAGGTTACGTCTGCTTCTCCAAAGCTTCTCAGCTACACGTGGAGTCGACTGTTATTCCTCATCACTCCATCGTTTGTGTGTTTTTCTTTTTTTTGTCTTCTTTTGTACCATTAAAAGTGTTTCTCTTGTATCAGGTGTGGTGTCTCGTGTCTCCTGCAAAGATAAATGCTGGAAGATACTAAAGTATTTCGTTCACATTTTGAAAGAAGTCTCAGAAATTCAGTTTTCTGGTCAGAGCAGGGGTGCCTAAACTTTTTGTCTTGGAGGGCCAAAGTCTGACATTTGTGGTGGCCTAAAAACAAATAGAAAAATAGAAAAGTGTACAAATAAAGAAGAAGGTATGAAGTTTTTTAAAAATGTATTTTATAACATTACAATATACATATTTTTATATGATGAAATGTTTCAGAAATGCACATTTAAAAGCAAAATAAGAATTTCATAAGTTGGTTTAGAAATATGTTTGGGGTGGGGGGTGTTAGGGTAACTTTCTAGTGGGCCAAATGAAACATCATCACACTTTGGGTGACTTGGTCAGGCAATTATATATGTATAACAAATTTCATACAGAAATACCGTCGGAAGTGCTTTACATACACACTTAAAAAGATGGTTTTTAGGGGTTTTTTAGTAAGGAAAATGATTCTATATAGAACCATGAACACTCAAAGAACTCTTTGCATGATTTATGGTAGAGAATGTGCTGTATATGGTTCTATATAGCACCACAAAGGGTTCTGCTACTGTTGCAAGCTTGACATTGTAACAATAGAAGAACCCTTTTCAAAAAGGTTCTATATAGCACCATCTTTAGCACCATCAATCTGAAGAACCGTTTCATCATGCAAAGGGTTCTTGGAGTGTTCATGGTTCTGTATAGAACCAATTGTTTTACTAAAGAACCCCTGAAGAACCTTTTTTTTTTGAGTATATAAATAAGAGCAAAAATAACATCTGAATAGAATTTAAAACAATGCGCTTTAACCAGTTTTCTGCATTATTGAGTGTGTGAGATGTAAACAGAGTCATTCAGAGTGGTTTGGTGTGAAATGGTTCAGATTTCTTTGGTGGTGATACGGGTTGCCATGACTGCAACACAAATATAGCCATTTTATTTACTATCCAAAACCCCCAGTGAAACTACACGTGTCTTCTGAGTTTTATGTGGAATGTTAATGATGGGAAAATAGTAGAAAACCTGAAATTATAAGTTTTCTTTGGGGACTATTTTGCTTCACAGCACCCTGCATGTGTTGCTTTAAGACTCGTGTTCCTCAGTAAAACACTGTCAGAGTTGATTTTCACAGAGCAGCTGTGAGTTTCGCTGCTCTGAGGTGCTTTTTCGAATATCAGTTCAA